GGGTTTAATAATATATTTTAAGGAAAACAAATAAATTCAAATTTTTATATTTAAATTAGCACAAAAATATCCATAACATGAGAATATAAGAGTGCTCATTTTCAAATTTGGCCACTGCATGCAGAGCCCTACTATCCAGCTTTGTGAACAATGAATATGGTTTATGTTTATGTTTGTGAAACGTATCAATACTCAGTGCAGTACAATATTATATATTATAAAGTTCCTAAGCTGCTTACAACTAATAACTCTTATTAATATTGCATTGTCTATTTGTCATATTATTATTTTAAATTTATATGTACGCATCGCTTAAGTAATTTCCTGGTAATTAATATGAAATAAGAAAAAAAAATTTAAAAACCCTTTTTTTTAATAGGATAACATTCTAAGTAGTCTTACTGTCTTACTGTTACATAATATGAATATATGTTAATATTTATTATGATTTGTTTTCAAGATAACTACGGTTTACCCGACCCGGTATATTGTCCAAATGAATGCGGCCGTTGCTACAAAGGTTTAAGGAGAAAAGGAAATCTCAACAGACATCTCAACAACGAATGTGGCGTCCCGAGAAAATTCCAATGTTCTTTGTGTTGGAAACGTTTCGCACAGAAGTACGATCTAAAGAAACATTGCGTTTGTGTTCATAAACTTATAGACAAATAATAAAACTACATATATATACACAAATTGTATTATTATATTAGATAATATTCTTTTACCGCACCTGCAAAATATTAAATAATGTCTTTTACAAATAACATATTGTTTTGAATTCGATCCAACGGTACGTCACACAGACACAGTTTTGGTATAAGGTATGTATCGCAATTGCTCCAAGCTGGAGACGCAGAATTAACTGAGCTGAAGGAAGCAGAAACATGCATTTCCAAAATTAACTGATGAAGTGTATTAGACGTCACAATTACGCCTAATATTTTTATCACCATTAAACGATAAATTTCAATTCAAAAATATATACTTATTAATTATTATAACATAAGTCTATAATATCATAATGAAAGTTGATAAACATATTGTGGGAAAGCCGATCTAAGTAAGTATTTAGTAAACATTTACTTTGAAAAAAAAAAATGTATGAAACACTCGATGCTCATAGTATAGTGTCGTACCCATGCCGATATCTAGTAATCATAAACAGTTATTCAGCATTAAAACATTTTTAAAAATAAATAATAACCATTTTGCATTTGCATTGCACAATACTATTATCTCAACTAAGTACAATATTACAGAATTGTACTACTTGCACAATTATTTATTTTTAAAAATAACCTCATCAAAAAAGTTACATATACCAATGTAACTACCTACAATAAATGTTGATATATTTTGCTCGCATTGTTATATTAAATAATTTACATTTACATTTTCATGGAGAGAAGAAGTTTCTGGTTTTACAAAGATGTTTATTTATTTGTTATCTGTGCGCAACTTTACTACCAGAAATCTTGCTCCGATTTTTAAGTGTAGCAATTTTTCTAATTTTTTAATTTTTTCAAGAGTTTTTCCAATAAATTTTAAAAACTGGGAAAAACGTAGGAAAAACGGAATATACAGTACATTAAACAAATATTATTAAAGACAATATATAATGCCTATTTAATTATTTTTCCATAATATGGCATGTACATTGTTGACAAAGCATCACTATCAACTGAACTCCGCTCAAAATAGTTTTTTCATTATGGCAATGGTTTATCGTTGATTATTGGTATACATTAAATTACCTATGACAGTGGCTGCACCCGACTCTATTATCCTAGAATAGCTTTTCTTAATTGTACTAAAATTAATCGTACAAATTATCAATACTAAAACTTAAAAAAAAAATTTGAATAAGAAGAAGACATTTTCAGCGGGGTGGGCATTAAAACCCTAGAACCCTACCTCTGTGTACACCACTGTCTAAATGAAATTGTTAAACGGCTTATTTAACTATTCTTATAGTAGGTACAAATAGGTGTATGTATTATAAATAAGTCGAATTGTTTTTGTTTTCGTATGATTGGTATATCACCTATCTACCGCAATAAAAAAAAAAGTTGCAGGTAGATATCTCGATTCGTATACTATTATTATTTTATACTAAAAAAATATTATAATAATAAATACAAAATAAATAAAATACTTAAGAGAAGGAAGATACGACGTTTTTCCGTTGCAGCAGGCGATGTAGCCATTTTATTTCCCACGTCTCATAGTGATTCTAAATGTGTATTTTTTTTCTTTCTAGAAAACATCGATAATGATATGTTTAGGAATCTATCGGATCCTATTGTGTGTCCAAACATGTGCGGTAGATCCTATAAAGGCAGTTTTTGAAAATATAGTCTCAGAAAACATCTTTTCAACGAATGCGGCGTCGATCCTCGGTTCGAATGTCCCTTGTGTCAAAAGCGATTTTCAGATAAAGGCAGCATGAAAAGACACGTGACTCTTATTCATCGTGAAATTATTTTTGTATAATTGTCTAGGTACCACATTAATAAAATTAGAGTACATTGAAAATAAAAAATTATTCAATAACATTATTAACTTTTTTTCAATCTTTTCATATTTTGTGTTATTATTTCATATCTGTATTATATATATTTATTATATCTTTGATATCATTTTTTATCAAAGGTAACTACAGCCGTCTATAGGTATTAATACCTATGAATACCTAAACAACAATAAATTGGTGTTATCTACGTTAAAAAATTGTTTTTCTTAATTTGGGTCTTTTAGATTTTGATTTTGAGCGAGGGATCTATAAGTTTTACTATGTGTGCATTTTTTTTTTTGTATTTTTTTGTATCCAATTGAAGAATGATTGACAAGATCTTTCTTGTTATATTATGGATTTGGTTGATGCATAGGGGAGGTAATTTTTTTGATCTCGAAGGTATTTTCAAAATAATTGGAAAAACCTGAAAAAAATAACGTATAAAGAAAACTGAAAAATATTTACGGCGTTACCGATTTCATTATTTTAAATTTGTACGCATTATAATATCTACGGAAAATCTAGTTGTTCAATCAAAAAGCGATAAGAGACCATTTTGTTGCATTTTTAATCTAGTTGGTGAATAATTTTGTTTTTTTTTTAATTTTCTTTGTAAGTTTCATATTAATTAAGTAAAACAGGAAAAAGACATAAAATGAACTAATAAATTTACGGCGTTATGATTTAATTGTTTTAAATTTTGATAGAGAACTTATTTTTGAATTTTCTGGACGTGATATAATGTTTAACATATTTTGGTAATTTTTGAGCTATTCATAGACTTTTTATGTTATAAGTTGTATTTAGTAGTCCTTAAATAAAAAAAAATAAAGTGTAAAGCAGAATTTATTTTTTACAATTATTATTAATATTCTACAGATAAACAAATGAACATGTATTTATATTTTACGAATAGAGGTAGTTTATTGTGTTTGTTTAGTTAAAATTGTGTGTGTTACATAGTTCTGTTAGTGTATACATTTATATTTAAATTATAAATTAATAATTTCAGATTATGTTTCGTGTTTTTTTCCAGATTTTTTGTCGATGTATTGTCCAAACGGATGTGGCCGAACTTACAAAGGAAAAAAACGAAAATCGAGTTTAAACAGACATCTAAAGTACGAATGCGGTGTCAGTCCTCTGTTCGATTGCACTTATTGCGATAAACGTTTTACATTCAAAGGGAACTTGAAAAGACACATTAATTCGATTCACCATAATATGCTTGAATTTCATAATTATTAAAACCTAACAAATTGCACGACGATTGTTTACTAAATTAATACCTATTACTTGTCTTGTGTTTTGTTTATTATAACACCGTAAAATCTTAATTATTATAAAATTTACACTTATTATAAATTAATATAATATATTCAATATACATTAATAATTTATTAAATTAAATGTATTATACACCCATATTCTCCCTAACAAAATCCTGGATCGCTACTGCTTTATTAGTTTTATCAGTGCCTAAAATACTGTGTCCGCTGAATTATAAATATGTGTCCCAAGTTTTATAACGTGTTTTTAGTTTTAATTATAGGAATAATAACCAATTTAGAATTTCAATACAAATAAATCTTGTTTATCTCAATATAAATTAATAAGAACTTCCTTGTTGTAAATATTATACGAATATACTATATACCATAAACTTTAACCATGGTAACTTCCACAGATTTTTTTTTTCGCTATGGAAACCTGTCAAAAGTCACAATTGAACTAAGGAGTGTATTTCCTGAAATCAGATGTATTTTAGGCTCTGAGTTATATATATATATATTAATAATTATTATAAGTTACATCTATAAGTTTAAAAAATTCCGTAATCTGAATAGTACGTTTTCTGATGGGTATCTTCTTCACGTCTTCAATAGGTAATCATCCGATTGGTTTGCTGTAGATTTCTACGTTGCAGGACCGTAGTAAGATGAGTAGGAGAGGGGGTGAGCGGGCGCAATTCCTGGAAGGGTGCAAAAATTAAAATTAAATAATTAATGTTTATACTTATTTCAATACATAAGGCTTATATTTTATAGATAGGAAAATAATTTCCAGTAATAATATTTTCATAAAAAACCAATTCGTGATTCCTACATTATACGAATAAACAATGTAGGTATTTATAAATAATATATTATAGACCATGGCTAAATAACATGGCATGACTGCAACTCCGACGATATTCGGTTGTTACGCGCATTTATTGTTATCACTTGAAAAATGACGCCAGCCGGTCCCACAATTTGAAATACTATTTGGCGGGAATTCTTATTATATGATAATTTAGCATTTATATAACATTGAATTGAATATTTTATATACATATATTATATTATCACTGTTGCATATTTTGAATAATTATAATTCATAATATAGAGTAATGGAATTATGGATCATTGTATAATCCATGGCTAGATAAATGTTTTTTAGCCACCGTATAATCATTGTTTGTTATAAATAAATGAACACTGAGATTTTGAAATTTTTCTATTTTGTATTTCTGTGTGCGTAGTAAAAAATTATACGAGTGACAGTTGTGCATCAAAAATTGCAGAAATGAAACCAATCCTTCATCGTTTTCCTAAGGAAGAATATCTGCAAAAATTGTGGATTGAACTTAGTGTTATATCTGAAAAAGAAAAGGTATAATAATGAAATTTATTTACATTGTGAGTACCTCTATGTAAATCCAAATGCCCTATTCATTCTACATTCCCACATCTGTATAACAACTATACAGTTGTTATGTCCTAATAAATAGCATTATAACTAAAATGATAATGCTAAAATACAATCTCGTGTTCCTAATTTGTACTGAGACAGTGGGACACAAATCTGATAAGTGATAAATTAAATTTATCATACAATATTTGATTTTGCGCATTTTTACCGAGACCGGATGACGTAGTCGTCATAAGCAGTTGTTGTCATACCATGTTATTTAGCCATGTTATAGACTACTTGAAATTAAACAAAAGATAACGACGATACAGTATCATACGAATATAAATTCCGCTTACTTTTACATACAAATTATCCGAATTTATTGTACGTATACATGACTATTTTTATGTATAGTGTATACTGTATACAGTATACACGTGTAGTGTTTACCGGTTAATATACGTAAAAATTGATTGCTACATTTTATTTGTGTTTAGACGGTCGCTCTGTCGTGACCTCCTGACTCTTGAACTCGGCAGTATACTGCTTTATGAGGTTATGACTATATATAATATTAAAAGTATTATATAATTTTAGTAATAAATCCCCCCCACCCCCAGGAAAAAAAAAGTGTTTAGATTCAAAAGTGCTCGGAGCAGTGAGTGCCATAGACTTATGTCCTTATTATATGTATGTACTATATTATTGCATTTATAAATTTACTGTATACTTATTGTAAGTTTATTATTCGTGTGATAATAAATTATTAGATTAATATATTAATATTATTGAATCACTAAATGACAAAACGGGATTTCTGACAATAATAACCATGCATTCCTTCTACAATACTAACATTTTACGTAGTTGTCAAAAAAAATTATTCAATCATAATTTTGATTAATAAATTAAATTATGGGATTAATTGTATTATCACATTCGTGCATGTACGCGTGATGTTAATGTTCGGGATAATTATTATATTCTATAAAAACAATAAATGATAAAATAGCTATGATTTAGCTACTTTGTCTATTAAACACAGGAGCGAACGTAGGGGGGATTTGGGGTATAAACACCCAACCCCCCAAATATCAGGAGCAAAAAATGAATTGCCTGTCTTACAAATACTAATAAATAAATTAAAAAAAAAATAATTAGTTATTTATTGATAATAATCTATATATTTAAAATCTAAATACCACCGATTCACTGATCGCTGTATCTCAAAAACTACTCAACGTACGCGCTTGAAATTTGGAGTAGTGGTTCCTCTATTACTTCACCGTGCAATAAGAAATCATTTTTGAAAATTCAACCCCTAAGGGGGTGAAATAAGGGTTTTTTGGTATATTTGATACGAATATCTAATTGTTTATTTATTTATTTTTGTTTATTCAAGTGCTACCTTGATGTTACGGAAAAAAACTATGATAATTATTATTATTATTGTTACTATTACTATTATTTGCATTATTAAAATTTCACAATAGAACACATTTAGTCCGCCGAAGTTGGACTACCCACTTTTCACCAATTTGTTTTCATTCAATTCTGACACGGCCAAAACCAAAAATTAATATGGGTAAAATAATAATAATACAAATTGGCATGAACAACGCCGGACAACGCGGGACAGCTAGTAATATAATATAATAATAATTAGTAATTTTTACATTTGGAGGAGAGTTAGTGGTGCATCATTAACACGCCACACGCCGTACAGCCACACAAATCATACTCCACTACTGTCCTCGAATCCAAACTTAAATGTGGAATATCTGGTCAACAATTTGACAGAAATCAAAAATTTCAACACTAATATTTATTTTAGCTAATATTTCATCTATTTATGGAATTTTTAATATAGATTGCCATTTGAAATTCAAAAGTAAGTGGTGGTTTTACCTCCAAAAATAAGCGTGAAGATAATTAATATAAATATAAAATTGTGGAGCAGCTTGTTTCTTAAATGTTCTAGAAAACATTCCGGAAAAAGTTAATACTTTCCGAGATAATGAGTGTACCCTCTTAAATGAATCACCTAGTATATAATTATTTATTTAGTTTCAAATTCTGTTATTATAAATAATATACAAACACAGTATAATAACATTTCCCCAAATATGAAATAATAAATTTACATGGCGATGATATTAATATTAATAAATACAATGTTTTATTTTTTATTGACAAATTGTAATAATTAATTTATATATATACTATAAATACCTAAAATAAAGAGTAATACACTATGAACAGTATGATATTTATGGACATTTTTACAAATTTACCATTTTTACGCTAAGTCACTAAAATTTCATCATTATCACACCAGGAGCGTAACCGGATGAAAATCTAGGGGAAGAAAAAATAACTTATCCACTAGAACCCTGACTCCCCCCCCCCAGTTTAAATATATTTTTATTGTATGTATTGTATACGCCATATACGGTATACCTAATTGTTTTTACACGAGTCTTAAAACTCATTTTGTAGTTAAGGAACAGATTGTAGATAGCAGGTACTAGGTACCCATATTATTAAATAATATTAAATACTTACATATGAGTTAATAAAATTCATTAATAAAAAAGTACTGTAGTGTACAAAGTACACTTTGCACGATAGGTGATCCACTGTTGTTGGTGAGAAGTTGGAAAGGTAGATTATAGAGGGGAATTTTATGTATATGTTTATGGAATGATTAATCCTTAATCATTGCTAACTAAAAACAATTCTGAGTCGAGTTCGATTATACATGTATTAAAAGGTTATAAATATTTAATATTTTCGTCAAAACTTTTATAAAAAAATTTAACATTACATTCATTATTTTTTTTATGACCACAAAGAACAACTTATAATAAACCTGTTAAATTTTCAAGAATTTCTGTTCAGTCTAACAATTTTAACCGCAAATTACTGTAATAAAGTGAATATAGGGGTACAAAATAAATGAATGTATACCCACTAATCACTTAGATTACTTATTACAGCCTACGACGGTAAGAAACAATTAATATAAGATATGCACTATGAAGGGTAACAATAATATACTTACCTATCTTGAACGGAGTATCCTCAGCAACAATGTTGAGTTTGAATACAGGTATAATTATATTTATTTACTATGTTGATGAAAATAGGTAGTAGGAATGATAAAATAAACACTTGATTAAATTAAAAATGATGATATCGGAATGTTAGAAGCCGGAACAACACGCACTCGCGGGAAGACGAAAAAGATGACGAGTCGCCAAGGCAGGATCCGGTGGCCGAGTGAATGGAGGTGTCGCTTATGAGAAAGGAAAGGGGAAAATAGTGGAGTGGTGTTATCCGGTTCTCATTATCATATTTTATTATTATATGAGATATTTAACTGTAATACATACTATTTGTATTAATCTAAATTGACTTATAAACTAATAAAATAAAGTGGTGTCCACTATAATAAAATGTAGTGTAGATAATATTAATGTTATATAATATTATATTATGATATATACCATATTGTATATATCATTACAGTGCTTAGGTACCGAATAAAAATTATGTAAAACTTACAAAATTAAAATGTTTATAAATAGCTCAAAAATAGCTAAATTATTTTGAATGTTTTACCAAGTGTATAAAAGTCAAATATAAGTTTTTATTTTTGAATTTTAAGTTTTTAAAAATATTTTTTACTGAATCACAATAAAAAACAAAATTGAAAATAAATTAAGTTCGTAATTTTCCCGTTTTTTTTCTACGTTTGTTTCTCGTTTCTTCAATTATTATGAAAACCACTTAGAAAATTAAAAAAAAATGACCCCCTTAAGTACCACCCTAATCAGATTTCCTTTCAGATATAATGCTATACTTGAAAATCAGAGCAAAATTGCTGGTAGAAAAGTTATTCACAGTTAACCCTTTTCTTCGGGTGAGTTAGATTTATCGTTAATGAAAATATTAAATAGCTACTTTGTGGGGCGCCCAAAGTAACAGTTTTAGGAGAAGCAAAAAAAAATTTTGCAATTTTACCATTTAGGTACGTGATGTGAGATAAGAGTTTAAAGCATGAAAGCATATAGTATAGTTTATCCGGTAATCGTAGTTATCAATTTATCATTATATTCTAATAAATTAACAAATTCATTACAAATTATTTTGTGCAACATTGTTACATGTTATCGAGCCATTATAATTTGAAAGCGTCTGTAAAATATATTTATAGAACGTTTGTCCAACTTGGCTTAATAAAATAAAATAAAAACTGGAAAACTGATATTATGATAACATTATAGCGTTTAATAGTTGTTGGTGGTTATAGGTATGAACCACCAAGTTCCATTGCAATAATAAAAAAATGTTCCTAAACTCCATCAAACACTGAGCAATCCGATGAATTGGCAGATGAATAGGAACACATGGCATATAGGTTATCATAATATGGGTTCAATGGCTAGTATCTAAAGCTGCGTATCAGAGAAAACAGTTTATTGATAATTTTCGATTCCAGTAACCGTTGTTTGTTCTTCGTTTCACTATTTTCAATTTAGAACAATTGAACTTTTTGTATTAAGTATTTAAATTTAAACTTTAAAGTCATACTAAACCATTCGTATCTGTTTGAGTTGCCAAGTAATTTCTTGTTTGTCGTCAGTCGTTGTCTTGTGATTACACAGTCGTCAAGCTACTATTCAGTTTAGCCACTTAGAATATTGTTACTCAATTTACGTAAATAATTGCTCTATTACAGGTACGTTCTTTTACTAATTCATATTCTTCTACTTATTACCACAATTAAAATCAATGGTGTATGTATAGTTAACGAGGGGGGTCCTATGTACTGAACCCCAGACACAAAAAAAAAATATAAAATAAATGGTTAAATTTAATAGATAAATGGTTATCAGAAAAACTGTTTATTGATGGATTAGATAGTTGTAATTTGGATTACACAGTTGAAATTTGCATTCTTATTCAATTCAACATTCTTAATAAAATTCCACTGCTTTTAGTAGTTGTAAGGTCTTCTACAAAATATTATATCGCAGCTATATTTCGCAATCATTTCTCATCTCATGAATTTTTAAAAATATCTGTATGAATATGGGATCAATAAAATATTATATAAAACAGGCATATTATATATATGTCATAGGCTATATGGAAAATCAGTCTTTTTGCAAAAAGACTAGGCTCTTTGCAATGGCTTGTTTGCAAACCACCTATTTATTATTTTTCCAAACAGCTTACTGTTTTTTAGGCCTATTACATGTAGACTAACAGTAGTAAGACCTTTTAAGAACTACAATAATTATTGCAATATAGTAATAACTATTTTACTTATTTTATTTTAAGAGTAATTTATTACTTTTACAAAGAAAAGATCAATAGAATTATTGTAACATGTAAACTGTCAACTGCATCTATTTGTTTTGAAAAAACATTTTTGATAATGAAATACTAACGAATTTGATTGTTTTACGATAACGCAAAGGTTTCTAACATCTAGTATGTACAGATAGTATGCCAACAAAAATATGTACTGTGAAAAGTTATAATCTAATCTACTGATGAACTAATGTAGATAAATACCTACCTAGAATTTAAAATGTATAAGATTGATATAATTTTTATAAATATGCCATTGATAAAGTTTATAAGTTGGAAGTTATGTTTTAGTCAATATTTCAAAAGTAAAGGGTAGACCATTTAGACGCTCAAAATATAATTGGCAAAGCTGTTGACAAAAAAATATAACACGAAAAACAACATGTAACACTAAGTAAATATTTTACTTATTTTCTTTTTTGTTTGTTATATAAAATAAAACTAATAGTAATATAATAGTCAAAAACTTTAAAATAATCTAAACTTCACTGATAATTGCCATTGATACAGTTTATAAAATAAATATAATACTATATAATAAGTACCATACTTATTCAGACTATTCAGTTTAGTGCTTACATGTTATAATAATTGTATTGATTTTTTTTTTTTTGTAAAAGTAATCAATTGTCCTTAAAATAAAATAAGGAAAATAGTTATTACTGTTATTAAAAGGCTTAACTGCTGTTGGTCTATATGCAATAAGCCTGAAAAACAGTAGGCCGTTTGGAAAAATAATAAGTAGTTCCCAAACGGGCTACCCCATTGCAAAGAGCCTAGTATTTTTGCAAAAAGACTAATTTTTCATATGGCCTACAACATATATAATAGGTGTACATATTTTTGTAATTTTTTTTTAAACACTTACATTTTATATTGTAATATAGTTATATTAACAGCATGATGAAATATACCTGCATTGCTTTGTAGTTTTTAAATTTTATTAAAGTATCAGTTATTTTAGAAATAATTTCATTCTTATAACAAATATACCAAAACCCAACTATAAAATATAAAACCTTAATTTATTAATTACTATTAATTACCTATTTTATTATGTTTAATAAAGAATACATTATTTACAATTTTCTACATTAAGTACCAGTTATTTACTATTAAGTCTAAACACCAACTCATAAACAATGGCAGTATGAAGGATAATATAATTATGATTATGTTGACATCTGCTGTTTCCTTATAAACATACCTGATAATATTCTTAAATAAGTACGTATTATTTTTGCTACTCTACTTTTTATATTGCAGTTTGTTATTTAATGTTTGCTACTTTATGCAATAATCATGACGCTACCTACTTGACAATTAGCATAATTCTGGCCATAGAAACGCATACACATTATACACCTATATCTATTTACAATACAGTATATTGCATAAAATTAATTCAATTTTCATTTACAGAGCATAATGTTCAAACAAACATAACTCGTTACTTCTGCCCTAATAAATGTGGTAAGAGTTATAAAGCTCCAAACACTTTAAACCGACACGTGAAATATGAATGTGGAGATTTGAGAAGATTTTGTTGTCCTTGTTGTTTTAAGACTTTTAAACAGAAAGCAACTATGCAAGGGCACGCTGCTTTCATTCATAAATGGATTATAAAATAAAAAAAAAAAATGAATATGTGATTTTTCTTAGACATTAAACATACATATAGTAACAACTTAGTAGTAGTTATATGTGTGTATTTCTTGCTCTGTTAATGGAGTTAATTTTGGAAATTTATTTGGGAACTTATTTATAGGTGTGTTGATATTATTATATTAGGTTGCCAATTAAATTATATTATTCGTACAATAAGATTAATAAAATAATAAAGTAAAAACAAAATTATTAAATGTATAAATACTTGTAATTAAGTATATAAATTATTTATTTATACAACAAGATTATTAAGAATTTTGTTAATGAATTTAATTTGGTTAAGAATACTTGCATAGTTTAAGTTACTGATTTATAGTTATTATAATTGTGACCTAATTTCTTTCATTAATAACTAAAATTAAGTATGTAAACTGTAATTTGTAAACAGTTAGCATTGATAAATTATATTAGTTTTCTCTCTATAGCCATTGTAAGTATTTATAATCATTACCATTTATATTTTATAATATAATTACTTTCAATATTTTATTCAAAATGTACTTGTATTATATATTATATAAATATGATTCTAAAGGTATGCATATTAAAATTAAAATTATTAAATAAAAATAATAATATATTATATTACCAAAGTACTACATAAATAAATTTTATTTTATTATTTTTTTTTTATGCTTTTATTATATTAACAGTACGCATGTGGCCAGATGAAAATTATAAAAATTGAATTAACAGTAGATATTATATTTATATTCCTTTTGTTAAAAAAAAAAAAATATTTATCTATTGAACCTATAGAATAATATATATTGTTATACAAATAGTGAAATACCTAATGCGGTACTAATATATGAATTTTTTTATTTTTTTTAGTCAAAAACAAGCATTCTGCTGTTTATATTTGTCCCAATAGTACATGCGACCGGAAATATAAACTAAAAACAAGCTTGCAAAACCATCTAAGACTTGAATGTGGAGGACAAAGGAAATTTGCTTGTAATATGTGTTATAAAAAATTTTCTCAAAAAGTTACATTGAAAAATCATTTGGCTATTATCCATAAAGTTGTTTTGTAAAATTCAGTCCAAAGTAAATAATTAATCCATTAATACCGAATAATGGAGTTATAAATGTCAAGTTTTAAATACTTGTAATAAAACTACTAATAAATGAATATTTTTAATATAATACCTATTTAGTAAAGTACTAAAGGTTGGGCTATATTTTGTACTCATACACATTATATAACTACGGAATTATATATAAGTTGACATTTTTAAGGATTTTTGATATCAAAATATATCATGTGGTCATTAGGTAGTTTAGTTTTTAGTTAATGGGGGTTTTTTTTTTTAAATTTTTATAACTTATACATTTACTCATCATAAATTTAATCTTATAATTTCTATTTTATATATAGCAGGTATAATTATTATTTATAAGACATTTATGATATTTGTTTAACTGAATTTTTTTATGTTTGATAAACTTAATAACTGAATTATTTAAACAAAAGATTAAACTTTGTAGCATACCTACATGAAAATAATATATTTTTTTTGTTAGATTTTCTTTTAATTTGGTAATATAATATGTACATTTATTATATTCATTTTACTTTTTAATATTTATAATTTTGTATCAAAGCTGTCAATCTAATGGTTCAGTTAAATACTAGAATAATATCAGTTCTTTGAAACTAGGCTCTAGGGCTTAAAAGCATATGACTAAAATTCAATTAGAACATACATTAATTCAGATTAGGTAATAAAATAGTATAATAACATGTATGCACATGCCAATAAACATTTCAGACTCTGCAATTTAGTATTATATTACTATTATTAATAATCAATTGATTTGGTATACATTTATATTTTTTTCGTTTTTGCGGAAATATAATTTTTAGTTGTACTTGTTAAATTAATAAAATGTATATTTAATGCTCATGTTATTTTATTAATATTGGGTTATAAAAATTATTTTTGATTTTAGATTTTACATATTCCAAACATGTTTTTCTAGAAACAATGATGAGATGTCATAAGAATAAGAAAGTCAGAAGAAGATGTAAACACTGCTATCAAAGTAGAGCAGCACTGGTTGGATCAGTACAAGTTGCAAATGAAGTTAGGAAAGTTTCAACTTTCTGCTTCACTTGTTATACTTACGACTGTTTCAATGTTTATCATAAAAACTAATGAAGTATAGGTATTTATATAGTTTTTAATTTAATTTAACTATAACTATTAAAAATGTATTATTTTATTTTTAATTATATATTTTATATGTTGTTTCATTGTCTCTTAAGTCTAAAACAATTAAATCTTTAAAGAAAATATAGTTATTTTAAGAATGCTACAAAAATTTATTATAAATCTTAAGGTATTTTTACTTTAAATATCTAATATTATTTTAAGAGTATGAAAAAAAGAACAGTTTTTTACATATTAAATGGTTGATTAAAATTATACATTTACTAATAGGTAATGGTCATTTTTATGTAAACATTGTATCTGAGTATACTGTTGACATATTTTCTCTTTATATAATGGTAAAAAAAAAAAAATTAAAAATTGGTCCAATTTTAAAGAAACATACATTTAAAAATATATTATTTGCAGCTGCCCACAATTATTTTAGGATATCCTACAGTGTTATACTTATGCTAATAACTTTGTTAATATTAATTTTTTCTTCATCCCTGAAAAATATAACTTTATTTTTCCACTTTTAAAATTTTTAAAATAACTATTTTATAAAATATATATTATTCTAAAAATGTTAATGTACATATACTTTTAAATCTGGTCAATAGTTTCTTAGTTATAGTGACTTCTATTATTCAATATAGATAAGGAATTACCATGTTGATTGTGATTCCTTATCGTGTATGTTTTTCTATTGAAAATTAATTGTTTTCACACTAATTTTCTAGAAATTCATTTGGCTATTACTAAGAAACTATGGATCGGATATGAATGTATGTTACATTAAAAGTTTTAAAATAATTTTTTTTACAAAATTGCTATTTTGAAAAGTGTTAAAATAAAGTTTTTTTTCTCAATAATTAAACGATGAAAATAATAGTTTAATTTTTCTCAGTATATGTGTCCCCCTCGCACTAAACCTGGTTGAAAAAAAATGAATATTGAAACAATTATTAGCATAAGAATAACACTGTAGGACACCATGCATAGTGTAAACATATTGTTATGTCTTACTGATCAACTGTTATATACAAAAACATCAATTCAACCACATCAAATACACAAAATGGTTGAATGATTGTGAAATATAACTTCTAGATATCGCTGACATATCAAAATGCAAATATATCTATATAATATTAAATATTTTTAATGTTGTAGTTTACAGAATTATTACACTTAGTAGACGGTATGTCAAAACTTCTATTGAAAGAAAAATTATACATTTCGTATTTAAAGAAAAATTATTAGAAAATTGCAATTACTAAGAAAAGAAAAAAAAAATGTTCTCTACACTGGTTAGCTTTAGTGGTGTGATTCTATAATATAATAAAATATACTAATATTATTTAATATAATATGAATTTAACCTATGAAAATATTATTTATTATTAGTACCAAATTCAGAGATAATTAATCTGAATACACAGAATACTTAGATATCTATTAAATAATATTACTCCTTGTTAATCTTAGTATTTAAAATGTTTTACCCATCCATTGAAAAACGCATGTTTTTTTTGGTTGTGTGCTTCAATTATATTTAATAAACAGATATAGTGTAAATATTTTACTTCTTAATGTAGGTATCATTTGCATAATATAATCAAGTAATACAAACATACTATTACACAAGCTTTGCATTTATAATTATGATTAAAATATATAATATAAATAAACTACCAATATTCTTTTTTATTAATTTTGGTTTTTTTTTTCAGTTCAAAAATCAAATGGAACAATTAAAATCTTTACATGCCCGAATAAATCATGTAATCGAAAGTATAAATCACAAGGTAGTTATTTCAACCACGTTCAATATGAATGTGGTGGTCGTAAACAATTTGTATGTTGGATTTGTAGTAAAAAATTTAGCCAAAAAGGAACTTTAAAAAGTCATCTTGGTATTGTTCACAGCTATTTGGCTAGTTAAATATGAATACATAATATTTAAATCATAATATATTTTTTGTACCACAGAAAACAAACAAATTTGTCTATTATAATCCTTAATCTTCCAAGTCTCTTCACATATAGATCTGCATATAATATTGCTTTATTCTCCAATTGCAGGTAAAACCAATTCTTCTAGTTTTCTATCTTAAATTTCCTTAAAAATTCTCCACCCTCCTACTTCTTTCGTTAATTTGTCCCTTTCTATAGTTCTTTCTCTTCAACCATTTTACTTGAGAATCCCCCAATTATCTGGATTATGTGCACTGCTAATAACAACTATTCTTTTACTCTTAATATTTAACACTTTTATACTTTTCACTAATTACCAGTTAGGTTTTATATTATTTTTAGTTTTTACATACTCGATTGTTGACTGTTATTATGTTCTTTACTTTTGAACTCGTCCCGTAAATGTATTGTATTTATAAAAAAAAAGTGTTGTAACTATTGTATTGTATTTACCTAAAATTAATATTGATAATATAATTTTTTGAATATAAATCAATGTAAGTAAATAATCACGATTGAATGTTATTTTTGTGTATATAATTGTTAATATATATTAGGTATTTGTTATTATGAATATTCTTGATAATAGGCTTATTTATGAGGGAAAAGGATGAAACGTTAATGAAGTGGTAAACAAGTGATAGAATAATAGTTTAGTGTGATAAAATTTTTCTACTTTTCTGGATTCTAGGGTTAAAAATCACTGAACTCATCATCTCAGCTATCTACAAAAAAATATTTCTTAATCCTGCTATTGATACAAATTAAGTATTCCTCTACAACAAATTAAACATGCAAATTTTAACTTATTTTATCCTGATTAAAATTATTATATTTTCCCTCAAACAATTTTTCTATTTAACACTTGGTATTTAAGAGGTATTTTATGTCTATTGAATTTTTAATAATAAATTATATTCAATTCTAGCACGTTTATTTATTTATTTGTACAATGTATATATTAACTTTTATTAATAAATTATACAAGTTATATCAATGTTTTATTTTTTGTATAGCTTTTATGCCTTCTTATAATAGTGTACACAATACAATTACACCAGGCCAGGATTTTTCATATGCATAACACTCGTTAAATTAATTATTAAATCTGGTTGTTTTTATTTTTAAAATAATAATTGAAAAATGTACACTTGATATCCTGAATAATCTTAATCCAGGCCTGGTCAACATTATATAATTGAATTTTAATTCAATACCATTATTTTATGTGTATTTATAATCTAATAATTTTTCACATTTAGATATTCATTATTTGGACAAGTGCACATATCAATCAAATTCATCCAGATATACATCATATAAGTTCACATGCCCAAACTGTAACCGGAAATACTCGCATAAATCCAGATTAGTACATCATTTAAAACAAGAATGTGGCTATAAACGACATAAATGCTTTGTTTGTGGTAAAACATTTGGTAGGAAAGATCATTTAAAAAATCATTTGATATGTGTTCACAAAATACTTGGTTAGATGAACAAATAATTTAGTTTTAAAGTATCCAGGCATGGGTGAACTTTCTGAGCCATGATTTTTTTGAATGTGTTTTTTTTTAAGACTGTAACTTGAAAATAATTTTGGAGGGTGGGGGGGAGATTGTGAACTAAAAATGTGTGATTTTATTGACTGAAATAATTATTTTTCCATGACATAATATAACATAAAACATTTTTGGGAGCCGGAGTTGAACTCCCAAAACCCCCTGAGGATATGTCCTTTGCTTTTTTATTTTTAAATAAATTAAAATTGAATTTTTATTTTGTGTTAATAATAAAATATATTGATGTACAATAGTCTTATAATGGGATTATTTTATTATAATAAGTACAATGTATTAAATTTTAAAGATTTCACAAAATACTTCTGTCCAGTGACATTTTGTCTAGAGCTAAAAGGAATATATAAACACACATTCAAAGATTATTTTTAAATTTTACTTAGTGAATTTTTATCAATTTGATTGTTATTTTGTTTAAAAAATATGTACTTTTAATTAAAAAACGATTTTTATTAATTTAACCTAACCTTCCTTTACATCTTTAAAAGTATCTATCTACCTTACACAGATGTAACTAATATTTGTATAAAATTAGTTATTAATATTATTATGAAATTATTAGTTGTTATTTTTTTTTCTTTTAAACATTCTGTGTTCCTCATTAATAAATGTCCTCATTTTAAAAATCTGATGGGACACCCGATTAATTATTGATAATAAACCTTATCAATTACATCGCCTTGCATGCACCCCAGCCATTTAATTAAATTTATGAAGAGGCAATCAGATATATATAATCTTTGATGAACATCTAAATTCATTGGATTTCTAATCCGATTGGTCATCATATCTAATGAGGAACACATTGATTGCATCTTTTGATACCTATTCATATAGGTATTTGAAGAATTTTGTTATTTAATTTTAAATATATGGTTAAGTCATACATATGTATGAAATGTTATTAAAATATAAATAATTTTAAAAAACAAAGAAGACATTTTTTTAAAAATATTTACCATTTTCTATTTATGTTATTAAATAATTTTTAACGATACAATAAACTTAAGAATTATTATGATTGTGATTTTTTAAATCAAAACTGGTTGTAAATAAAAATTACCTATTATAATAATATTTTAGGCTAAATTTTTATTTTATATATTTATTATATTGTTATATTTTTGATTATTAATCTTTAAAACATTTTTTTTTTTTAAATAGACCTACCATATACTTATATTTAATCACTATTTTATGTTAATTTATGTTTTAAATTTTTTTTTTTCTCTTGTCTATAAATAATACATCATTTTAATTTACTATTGAGTTATTGAATTTCCCCCCTAATAACCTTAACTAAGAAAGTAGGCATCAAGTACTTACTAAACAATATGATATTAATGATTTGAATTAATTTTAAATTCAAATGTATTGCATAAGTATAAAGTAGGTATGTTGTATTTATATTATCGTGTTCTTTTATTGATTGTAATGTTTAATTAGTTATTTATTTTAAATCAAATTTGTGTAGAATGAGAAACATAAGATTAAGTGTAGTTGAAGATAGAAAGATACATTAATAACTTAATTATAATCTTATCTTTTTCAGGTATAATAAATAACATAGTCAATAATCCTCAACAAAATCGAAAAAATTCAGTCCGTGTGCACGTAGACTTGAACAATGTGTTGTATTATTTAAAATCTTCTGTTTACCCTGGAAACGTTCGTACGAAAAGTGCAAAATCCAATTTTCGAAAACAATGCAAAACCTTTAAAATAGTAAATGGACTATTGTTCTACAAAAAAACGAATGCACGTGTTGTCATAAATGAATCTGAACGATTGGAAATCATAAAAATGTTACACTGTGGTGATCCTGTAAATCCTCTGTGTTCGGTTCAGACGACTTTATCATCAGCTCATAGAGGACGTGATGCAACTCGGCGTTTGTTAAAACAGAGGTACTTACATAATGTGTTATTTTTTAACATGGTTGGTAACTACCTAGTTTATTAAAAGTGAGAAATTACATTTTTCGACTACTTTCTAAGCGAAGTGATACATTTTATTTTTGATTACCTACAGAAAACTATCAATTTATAAAAAAAAAATGAATTAAAGAATATTGCATCAAAATTTGAGTAGCATAATAACACTTACAATGTGCGATATGCAAATACCTTTCTGGTATCTTATAATTTATGTATGTACCCTTTTCAGGTACTTTTGGTTCCGTATGTCAGATGACGTCAGAAACTTTATACGCCAATGCAATGTTTGTATGTCACGCCAAAAAAAAAATCCATTAGACTCATGAAAATCCAATGCTGATTATGAAAAATCTATGGAAGAGGTAAATTAATTTTATTATGCTTGATTATACTTATTTTATATTTAAGTTAAATAGGTATATACAAGTTTTTAAAATTGTATTTCATCAGTTATTTTAGATTCTAAGTGGAGCGAAGAAGCTTATGGTTTTACAATACATTTTTAATTTTCTTATCTGCGGATTACATTTCTACCGGCAATTTTGTTCCGATTTTTAATGATAGCACTTTTTTGAAAGGAAATTGGACTGGGGAGGTACCTTAGGGATATCATTTTTTGATTTCAGAAGTTTTCTCAGCAAATGGTAAAAACCCAGAAAAAAACGGTAAAACGTACAAAACGTAAGTAGGTATAAGTAAAAAAAATACCATGGCCTTTTTTAATCGTGTGAAAATCTTTTTTACCAGCAATTTTCCTCAGATTTACCATTATAACACTTTTTTTTTAAAGGAAATCGCTAGAAAATAGGTACAATATTAAACTATATAATGCATATGTAATTATTTTACCATAATTATTGACAATGCAACACTATCAATACAATAATTCCCTGATTACTGTTTGTGTTATCAATGTTAGAGGGAATCAATAAAGCATTGTATAAGTTATACCCCATACTAAGGGAACTAGGTTTTAATGACTTGAATTTCTAGCAAAAATCTACATACTGTGCAGATTATAAATAAACCGAGATCATTGATACTTGATATTGGTTCTGATCAACAAAAATGTCCTAAATCGTTTTGAGCTGACCAATATCTTGTATGTGTGTATGGTAAATGGAAGAAAAACAAACCAAAATTAAAAAGTACTTATTAGTTTATTAATGGTAACAATGAAAATATGTGTTAAAATTAATTATTAATAAATACAATAAAATGATAATAAACTATAAACTTTAAAACTAATATAAATATAAAAATTAATATTTTAAAAGAATTTTAGTATAATTCACAGATATATATATAATAAACTAGATTGAGAATTTGTAATAAGAATTAAAGTCACTTTAAGTGCCATATTGGAAGCTTATTTTCCTTTAAATGTATGCAACTAGCATATTATAACTTACACAAATGTGTACATAACGCTTACCCAAAATAAAATATTACGACACATCACTGTTAAATTAATATAATATGTTACTCATTAGTTATTACATACTATTGCAATTTGTAGCTAAATATATCTATTTACTATTTACGAAATTAATGAATTACAATTGATTTACAGCCACAATAAATTCAACATTTGAATACAGATCATGCAACACTGAGACAAGATAGTGCAGACTACACTTCAGTGACATTATATTTTGTTAAAAGTTCATGATTATTAACTCAAATTAATGCAGATTATAATTAATATTTAACAATTGCTATTTTTGAACATTGACCAAATTAAAATTAATTTATTATTTATAAATTTAAAAAATTTTAAATTTTATTCTTACGTTTTTAAAAATTACTTCCTGTCTATTCAATATAGATATCTACTTATTTTTTCAACATAATCATCATCATAAACTGAGTATAGGTGCTTATACAGGTTTAGGTACATAATGCACTCATATTATTTATTAAATATTTATTTAACTATTCTAACATAATATCGGTACCCCTACTTACATTGCTTATTTTCTACTTATTTTCTTCTTTAATACTACGATAATAATATTATTATTGTTATAAGTGTGTTTGCTTTAGATGCTCATATGCTGACAGCATTCACAAACCACATACTTTGGATTTACGCTTTTATAATCGTTTTGTTTACTAGCTGTTCCAAAACGAACAAGTATTTGCAAGTGTGAATGATTGAAAAAGTACCTCCCCAGTCCAATTTCCTTTCAGAAGAGGTATTACACTTAAATATCAGAGCAAGATTTCTGGTAGAAAAGTTGTCCACAGACAAAAAAAATAAAATAAATAAAAACATGAGAACATACAATCAAAATTATTTAAAATATGTAGCGATGTAAACGATGGATAGACAAATTAACAGTTAACAGTTATTGCTTATACAATACGCTTATTTTAATTATTATTATTGTAATTGTTTTTATACATTTGATGTACCTATATTATGATCTATCTATTTTGACAACATTTTTAAAAATACATTCTCAAGACCTCACATAGACTTTGTGATTCTTGATGCAATTTTTGTTCTTTATATTCATGTTTTCTCAGTATTTTAATAATTAGTTTTTTAATGACTAAATCATCAATCAAATAATTTTAGCAACAACGGCAAGTTATTAATTCTAATTGCTTTTAAACTGTGGTTTATTTGCTAATAACAGATGATGGTGTAAATTAAATTCGCAAGAAAGAAATTACAATAAGAATCAAAATTTATATTGAAAATGTTATTGCTTATTATTCTAATAATATATTTCAAAGTCAATTTAACAAAAAACAAGGTTATTCATTACTTATATCACTACTCATTTTGATGCAATGTAAAATATTGTTTTAATCATATAAGTAGCACGATTGTTTATTCTAAACGAGCCGTTGATACACAATTATTATTATTATTAATATGTAGTATAGATATTCTTTTTTTTTTAGTTACAACTTTATATATTAGAACATGTTTAGTGTGATGATCAGTTATTTGAACAAAAATATTGGATTTTTGCAGGTGTGAAACATTCAAGATTTATTTGCCCTAAGCTCTGCGGAAAATCCTATAAACACAAACATAGCGTAATACAACATTATAAATTTGAATGTGGAGTGGAACCAAATTTTGAATGTTATATTTGCCATAAGAAATTTACCCAAAAGTCGTCAATGAAAAAACATTCGATTTTGGTTCATAAATTTATTGCTGGATGATCAGTAAAAAGGAAAAATATATATATAAATATAATATATGTGTACCTACCTATATCTGTAACTATGTACATATGCTATATGGCCAATTAAATGTTTTTTAGCTATAAAATTACATTTTTTTTAGTATAATTAAAAAGTCGATTCTAAATGGAAAAATGATAATGTACTCACGTTTTATTTAAAATTGTGTATCCTGTATATCTTAATATATATATAATAAATTAACGATATATAAATACAATAAATATATATAATATAAAAGGGTGAATAATTAATTTATTGTTTGAAAAATTGAAAATATAAGGATATTGTGGGGTTCTTCGAGGGGAGAACAAAATAAATTTTGATAATTATAAAAGACATAAATTTAAAGAAAAAACATGAACAACTCAGTTAAAACTCATTTTTTTTTTTCGCAGGATACCTAATAGTTGTTAGTCAATGCCTACCAGTTTAAGATTTATCTGGGCTCAGAATAGATATCATAATAAAAAGTGACACTCCTAGTGTAAACAAAAAGGTGGTGGCTATCTTCCCAGTCAGTAGAATACTAATAAAACACCGTACGCCATGCTGCACACAATTGATACTCCACTACTCTAACCTAACCCACCTAAACTTAAAAAGTGGAATATGTTGTCAACGGATTAACGGAAATCAAAAATGTTAACGCCAAAATGCATTTAAAGTAATACTCCATCTATTTATGTATTTTTAAATAGAGGTATTCATTTAAAAAATCAAAGTTGGTATAGGATACATAGGATACTCCTTATATGTTGTGAAAAATCTAAGTTTTCAAAAATATTAGCTTTAACTACACTTAAACATTTTAAAAATCAGGATTTGAATATATGCAATATTTAACCAAAAAAATAGGGTGAGCTCGCTTAGTGAATGACTAGTTATATATATATTTTTGTCCTTGAATAAAACGTTTTCCCTTATACATTAATCAGATTTAAAAAGCAGAATAATATTTCATTACCTATTTGGTATTTTAATTCAGTATTCAGTTGTATGTATTATAGGTATTATATGTATGTAGGTATTATATGTATGTAGGTATTCATTATATTATACATATTCAATTTTTTTTTTGTATAAGTTCAAATTATGGACCCATTATTTATACAAAAAAAGACTTAGTTTTTCAATTTATTGTTTGAAAAATAGTTTAAATTAAACAATACGGCGAATACTGGGGTTTATTTATCTACTCTATACTATTGAAAAGTTAAAGAAATATTTAAGATTTTGCAAAGTTAAGTGCCATTTCCAGTTGAAATGAATATCTAACCTAAAAAATAAATTAACAAAAGTTATCATTTTATTTTCAATTTTACTGTATATATTTATACTATTAACACAAGGATGTTAAAAGGATCTACCAATTTGTATTTTGTTAAGTGTTTAATACCTATACTAATAAGTGATACAATCTAAAAATATAATATCATTTATATTGTTTATAACCAAAATTATATTTTGTTTTTGTTTTTTGGCATTGCTACTGTCTATTTCCTATAGTAGCTAGACTTTTTGTACATAATTATTAAATTTGTTAAGTATATAAATTTTAAAATGTAACTAATAATGTTTATTACAGATGAAGCTGTTCTTAAAATGTTACTGAGGGGCCAAATAATGATGAAGTTTAAACTCGAGAAAATAGAAGAAAAACAAAATACTATTATGAAAATGCTAATTCAAAAAAAAGAAAGTTTATCTGGTGAAGATAACAATATTGATTATTATATTTTTTCAGATTTATTTCCTTTGAAAAATATTGAAGACCTTAATCAAATTGAATCAAAACTAATAGATATTGGATATCGCACTGCAATTGTAATTATAATACTCAATTTGTTTCAAAATTATTAAATTTGTATAAATTCATATAAGTAATATGCATAATTTGTTTAGATCCGTGAACTTTCGTACATTGGTGGTAAAACTGTGGCATCTGCTGTTAAAAAAATGATAGTTAAAATGTTTGATGATGAATTATTGAGTAAATTTACGTTTGCTGGAAGGAAATCTACAAACAAAAAGTGTTTCCAGTCCTTAAAATTATACAAAATAATTGATGGTAGGTACTAGGTATATAGACAATATTATAATATACAATTATTATTATATTTACATTATACACAATATTTCATGTATACCACCTATGTATTCTTTATAAACAATAAAAATAATTTACTTGTGTATCTAACTATAAATTATATTTTTTGTATTTTAGAAGCAACTAAAAAAATCACTAAATTCAAAGAATGTTTAAAGCAAGAAGAAATTGATGATCCAATCAAATATATGCTTGTACAGGCACCTTTTCGAATAAAACGCAAACCAGAAACTACAGAAATTGCTTCCAAATAAATTAAGAATTTTTATATGTATATAAATATATATCTAAATTAAAAAAGATTAATAATTTATCAAATAATCAAATAAACATATGATGTAGGTACACATTTAAATATAAAGATTTGTTAGTTTGTTATATAATATTAATCTTTTTTTACATAAATATATTTCAATTTACAATCAAATATACAGTAAATTTGTACAAAATTAGAGTAATACAAGAAATAAATATACTACTATAATAATGAAATAGAATATGGATAATTGAACATTTTGTTACTAAATTGTATTTTGTATTTTTAGGCAAATTTTATATTGTATTTTATTCGCTTTAATTTTTTTTATCAAATGATGATGGTCTTTGAGACATAGATATTATAAACGTTCTGAATAGTTGAATATGGTATATTTGAGTATTTTACATTCCTATCAATAAAAAAAGCTGATACTGGGGATGGGTGTGCCATTGTTGTAGGTGGATAGTCAGGAAGGTAGGATAGATAAAGTTATTTAATTTCTAGCCATAAGCAATGATAAACTATTGTTAACAAAAAACGATTTTGGGCGAAGTTCGGTTATGCATATTTTGAAAGGCTTTAATATTTAAAATTTTCATCAAAATTTGGTTTTAAAACTTTAAAAAAAAAAAATTACTACATTATACTAATTTTTTTTTTTAACCACGAATTTGATTTTACAATTTTTATATAAAAAAAATACTACAGTGGACTCAACTTTCTTTTTTAACCACAAAATATGACTTATAATGAATCTCCTGTCAAATTTTCAAACATTTCTGTTCAGTCTAACAATTTTATCACGCCTAGAAGGAGCAAGTACAAGTTTTCTTTTAAAATTTTAAATTTCTACGAATATTTTTAGCTGAATTACAACAAAAAAACAATATTTAAATTCTAAAAAATTATTTTCCTAAATTTTTTCGTTTCTTTTTAGTTTTTTTAGTTTTTATAAATGATTACAAAAACTAGCAAAAAATCAAAATGAAAATTTTTTCTATTGGAACAATATTTCTGGTATAAAACACAAAAGTAAAAGTTAAATTGTTTGTATTTTTCCGGTTTTTCTCAATTATTATGAAAACTACTACGAAATTCAAAAAATGACCTCTTTAATGTACCAACTATAATTAGAGTTTATAACGTGTCGACCTCTGGCTCTGAATAGTAAATATCAATAAATAATAAACTGTTTTAACAATTTAACATTTAGAGCAACTTGTTTTTTTAATAAAGTTAATACATTCCGAGTATGTTGATCACTTTGCACACAAATTCAAAATGTTTAAAAAATATAACTGTTTGTATGTATAGTAGATAGAATCAACTTTTTAAGAACACTCCTAGATCATGGTGAAATGTGTTAATCAATTATTGTTTCCAATAGATGATTGGTTATAGTATTTATTTATTTATACTATTAAAACAACATTTTAAAAACTTTCTATTGGAAATTATAAAACATGTTACCTTATATATTATGTAAACAATTTAGACAACTACTTACCTAATGATTCTGTTTTTTTGCTTGAGTAACTTATCATACCTGCATAAGAGCAATGCTGCTCATATTATCCTTTTTCATCAGTACGGTTCTGGACTGCTCTTCTGAGGATCCACATTATGAGCTTCTACAATTTCTTTATTCAATGGGGATCTTCTCTTACCTACTGTTTTCTTCTACATCATCAGCGTCAGCCTGTTCAAGTATTTTAGGACTCGAAACCAGATTACAGATATCCTCTTGTTTCAAATAACTTACATATTGTTTCAATTACCCGATTGGTTGTCAAATTTTTAATATATGACCATTCTGTATCTAGACGGCGAGACATTTTGTTTCAATAACGTGATTGTAGCTATTATCTGTATTTCTAATAAGCGGCTTCTACTGCATTTACGACCGACTCAGATTTTCTACTAATAGATAATTTTGAAGAAAATGTATTAAAAAAATGTAATGTTGCTTTATTTTGAACTTAGTATACTATCTAGTATACCCATACAAATATACATAATAACTATACGTAATGCTCAGAAAATACTTAATTCTTGACCTTTTTTTTCTGCAGATACAGCAAGAAAATCAAGATTTATTTGCCCCAACCGCTGCGGAAGAACCTACAAAATTAAGTATTCGATTGCGCGACACCTAAAATACGAATGTGGCGTAAAACCCAAGTTTAAATGTCTTATTTGCCTTAAACAGTTTTGGCATAAAACGTCTGTGAAAAAACATTTGGTTACAGTTCATAAGCTGATACCCAATCGATATAACAATTTTATATAATAAAGTAAAAACAAATTATTAAATGGTTGATAGCCGTAAAGAAATATATAAATTAATTAATTAATTAATGCGTCGCTTGGAGTATTATGAAATATGAATTGTACGACCAAGTTTTGAATTAAAAATTCATCGTCAGATAAAATCACAGTCAAAAAGTAAAACGTACAATACAATAAACATTTTATAGTACTCCAGGCAACTCATTCATTTATTTCTTTTTTTATATAATAATTTTATATAAAAACATGTTAAAGAATGTGATATATAATATATAGGTATAACACTATAAGATGACTGATGTACCTATACATAAATTTCCATGTATATTTACAAAAATTAATAGTTTAATAAATTATATAAATAAAGGTACCTATACAATTTAAAATACCTACCTATAGTAATAAAATAGTAAAGTAAAAACAAAATTACTAAAATTGTTAATACTCGTAAATAAATAAATAAATAAAAAATGTATGTATAAAAATAGAAAATAAATAAATTAATAAAAACGTCGCTTGGAGTAATATCATATGTGTATAATACGTCCAGTTTCGAATTAAAAATTCATCATCTAGTATATCAGTCTATCTCGAGTCGCGTTTTGACTATAACATACAGCCAGGCGACACATTTATTCATATTTTATTTTTATGTATAGATTTTTTATTTACATATTTATTTACTATAATAATAAAATATTTTAACATTTTAATATAATAATGTAGACTGTAATATTGTAGTACGTTATGTTAATTTAATCATTTCTATAAAGCTTTAAAAAATTAAAAAATTAATAATTCAATTATTATACCTAGATCTCCGTAGCTATAGGGTTTGGTGAAAATGGATCAGACCAACAGCAGATCTTGTTAAAGAACACAAATCTAGAATTTATGTTTATCATATATGAAATTAAATAAAAAACAAATAGAGTTAGACAATTAGAACTATTGAGAGCCACGAAGAGAATTTATTGTGTGGCTCGCAGATTTTCTGAAAAGATTTGTAACTCCTAGATTAAGAAAATTCAAGACCCAGGGCCAAAAATTTTTAGTGGTACAAATTATATATGTATAATTATACGTTGATAATGAAAAATAAAACATACCTATTAATGCATTTGAATTTGTACAAAACTGAAACGTTCACGTTCTTGCTTTTTTAAAAGAAAACTCATGTACTATTCCAAATGTATAAATTCGGTTTAGTATATGTCATTTTCAGTACATAAAACCATGTGTTTAGTTAAATTTTCTTGTGTTAAATTTCAGTAGATATACATGTTTGGGCTGTGCTATGTATACTGTAACTCTGCTTCTAATAGTGGTCTATCACCATGACTCATGCGTAGTATTTGTTTTTATTATTTTCAGAATGCCTATGCTTTCTTTAATTTTTAATTAAATTGTTACAAACCATAAGTTACACCTGGACCTGGTAAGTACCTAGTAAGAGCCATTGATTCTAAATCGCTAAAATAATATTCCATTATAATAATATATTTTTTAAATTGATTAGGTACATATATATAATAGTGCTGTCAATTGATAAATGTATTATATTTATGAAATCAAATTTTTCTTTCAGACTCAATGGAATCAAGATTTATGTGTCCTAATAACTGCGGAAAATCTTACAAACATAAACGTTCAATTTGGCCACATATGAAATACGATTGTGGAAGCGAACCACAATTTAAATGTTTTATTTGTTTAAAAAAATTTAAATATAAATCAAATATGATGCATCATTTGATTTTAATACATAGGCATTATGTACTTGAATAAATATACACATAAATAAAATGACCTAAAATTTTGTGCTAAATATCAGATATCTATCTATTTATTTTATAAATAATCGAAAATAAAAATAATTGAATATATTACTATTTTAATATAAAAGAATTAACCCTGATATGAATTAACCCAATGATTCAATCACTGGTCCAAAATGGAACAAATATTTCTATTTGGATTGAAGTACGGTACGTCTCTTTTTGTAAATAACATTTTCAAAACATGCATTATTAACTCAGATATATTTAAGAAGTACTATAAACTTGGTTCCCGCAAGCTATTGCCCGAGCCTAATGGATTCTCCCTCATCCCATAGAAACTGATTTATGGGGAACAAATTAGACTAAATTATGTTATAACATTTATATAAAGTGTCAGCTCAATCCGTTCAGTAGTTTTACCGTGAAGAGGTAACAAACATTTCAAAAAACTATTTATAGTTTATTTAGTTTATAAGATTCGGAGATCAGCGAGGGATCTAATAATTTTACTATGTGTGTGTATTTTTTTTTTTTTGCCTATGAACAACTTTTCTACAAAAAAACGCGCTGAAGTATAGTCTACAGCACCTCTTCTGAAAAGGAATTTTCTCTCGTCGGTTTATTGGGAAGGTCATTTTTTGAATTTTCTAAGGAGTTTTCGAATAATCAAGAAAAACCGAAAAAAAATTATAGGTAAAATGTCAAATATATACGGCGCGCCGCCATAAGTTACAGTTTTCATTGTTTTTGTTATGTTATAGATAGTCGCATACTCGGACCCCCTCCCTCCTCATAGTACTATCTATGTATGTATATAAAACGTAATTTTCAGGAGTATTATAGGTTGATACTTTTCTTATAAATAACTTATTGGCTATTATTGAATAATCATGTTTGAAAAGTGGTAAAGGCAGGGTGTGGGAAAAAGTCTCCCTCGTTAGCTTGAGTTAAATAATTTTAAGGGACATCAATATTGTTAAGTCTTGCAGTCTTCGGGGACTGTGAGATTTAAGAATAAACACTTATTTTATTTTTACAATTCTAGTACTGCCTATAATATATAAATATCACTGAAGCAAATCTAATATAAGTATTTTTAATTTAATAACATAAAAAAATTACTTTTGACTGCACTAGGTATTAATAAAAAAAATAAAAAAAAGCTTTCCTATGATAATGAGGACTGATGCAGCCATTGTTATAAGCTTAATTTAATGTATACCTGTAAGGAATGATAAACTATTGCTAACAAATTTAAAAAACAATTTTGAGCGAAGTTTATTTGATAGTGATATTTTGTCAACAATATTATTTAGAGTTCTTTTTTTTTGCAATAGGAATGAGGAACGGGAAAAATTTCTTATATGGATATTAACTTATTATTATATTATATAATACTTGAAAGTGTGGAGGTTAATTCAAACACTATAGGGACTAAGCTTGCTAGTTGCATTACTATTTTTGATATATTATCCTTAGAAAACAGATAATCAAATTGAGTAATAGCTCAACAAAATAGTAACTACTGAAATATTCGATAGCTTTTTTAAATAAATGTATTTGGTCATAGAAAAAATGATTGATAGTTCATCTTACCTATTGAAAAGTATTAACAAGCGCCCGTCACTAAGAAAAACTAATTTGTTAAGGATTAGTTATGGATTCAAGATCTGTGTATCTTAGCACTTTTAGAAAAATCATGCTAACATTTATGTTCGATTTGATAATATATTAAATTTGACTGTGGAAAAAAAATTACAAAAACCCAACATAATAAAATCCCACTGCATGTATTCATCACTAAAACAATTGTTGGTATTGTAGATATTAATTTTAAGTTAACTTATATAACAAAATATAATCATTAGTACATTACCCGCTACATAGTTTGAAATAATAACGATTATATTGTGAATAAGAATAAATCTACAAAAAGGTAAATTTTTTTATCATGAACCAGCAATTATCTCAGAGAAATTTAAGTGAATTTGATTTCTGTTTTTTCTAACCATTATGGAACCGTTTAAGATTTATTTTAAAACCATTTTTAATTTTTACACCTACTTCATACACCTTAAATAAGTGCATACTTTTTATTTTCAAATAAGAACGCTCCATTTGAACACAGATTTAAATAAAGAATATTTTTCTAAAAATTTAGATACGCATAAATCTAAAATATGATTTATGAGTTATACAAGTTTAAAGTTTAGAAAAGATGATTAGGGGAGGGCAATACGTTTTAAGGTATGCGGAGTTGGGGAATTAAAAATGGTTTTAATATAAAACTTAAACGATTCCATAAAGATTAAAAAAAAACATACAAAAAATTCACTTAAAGTCCTCTGAGATAATTGCTGGTTCATGGTCAAATCATAGGTATATTATGTATGCTATAATGCCGAAAGCTTTTTTGTAGTATTACATAAATATAGTTACTAATATATATTTTAATTCAAAAAATGATGAAATACCATTTTTCAGGTCCATCAGGTCCAATGGAACCAAGATTCACATGTCCTCATCAATGTGGTAAATCCTACGAGAATAGACGATTGCTTTGGAAGTAGGAAACATAAATGTGATCCGGCGCCATTATTTGAGTGTTTTATTTGTCTCAAAAAATTTCCGATAGGACCACATATGTCACAACATTTAAAATTTGTGCATGATTATACTTTCGATTAAAAGAAATATATAATGAAAATGTGTTAAACAGTGGCGTATATAGAAATTAATTTCGGTGAGGGGGGAGGGTATAAACAAAGCTTTTGGGTTTTAGTTAATACCTACGTAGATTAAATAAATTCATAAATACACACCGTGTACCGTGAAAACTATACATTTAAGGGGGCTTTGAACCCCGAAACTCTCCCTTATATACGCCACTGGTTATACAATATTATTATCATAAATTTATTTATATACAAATATAAATAAATACTTCAATATTGTATTCGAATGATTTGAAACAATAATAATATCATTACAGTAACTGCATTACTTATTATTCGCCTATATCCTTTCTTTCTTCAATTACTTTATATATAATACTGATACAGTCAGTGGCATAACCAAGATTTTGTATTAGGAGGTAAAGGGGATGAATACGATTTTGCTTGAATCTTGGGCGTAGCCTTATATTTTCATCAATATATATTTAAATGTATCTTATAGGTATTTTAAACAAAAATTTACGAAACAAACTTAATAATGAAATGGAAGTAATCGCATAGGTATATGCAAAGTTAGATTGAATATTGAAAAGTTGAGTTCACTGTAGTATTTTTTTTATATACGAATTTCAATATAAAATTTTGACGAAAATCGTAAATATTATGACTTTTTTAAACATATGTAACCGAACTTCACTCAGAATCGTTTTTCGTTAGCAATGATTAATCGGTGCATACAAATAAACATTAAATTCTCCTCTTCCCAATTTCTCATCTACAATAGTGGCCCACTAAGTGTGCATAGTATGTCCTTGTTTTTTTTTATTCACATTTTGCATATTGTCGTCGTCATTGATCTTTTCACATTCACATAGAAATGGTAGACATCATCTTCATGAAAAAAAAATTATCGTTTTAGTCATCATCGAATTTATTTTATAAAAAATCCAATAATTTCAAAACTTCTAAAACAAATGAGAGACGATTGTCGAGAAAGCATGCGTCGGTCAGTATCAAATTAAAAACGAAAAATATTAAAGTTTATAACTAAACGGGCATCTTTTTGATTTCTAACTAGCAAGTGGCAACCGCGCATTATAATTAAAGTTTTCTTAAACAATTTTTTGTGGTTATAACTAATTAGTACTTATTTAGCACAAAATAGCTTAATATAATATAATTGTATATTTTAGGATAAACCAAAAAAAATGTTTTTCGTTCAATTTTTCGCTCATTTAGTGTGTTGTTTCTGCAAACGAACGCCTGAAATTTTTCATAGGGGAAGGGCAAAATTAATTTTAGTAATGACCTTTTTTTTGCATATCTATCTCTTACTAAGACCAGTCAAATTTTATTAATTTTAAGAAAACGCATTAAATTATGGAAAAATCAAAAGACATAAAAAAACATTTTGCCTTCAGCTAATTGTATTTGTAAACTTGCTTTAACTGTTCCTATAAATATATTAAAATAAAATATCAATCTATAAAATACAAAAATCAAAAATGACTTAAGATTCATAAGGGATAAAATATTGAATTTTGTAATGTTCCTAGTACAAAAATAGAACTCACTGAGTTTTTAGTATTGGGCAAATAGTGGAAAAGTTTCCAAAAATTTCCAGTAAATAGTATGAAAATATTATTTTTTATAAAATTAAAGAAATGTTTGTTCTTTTTATCTACTTATAATAATGGTTTATTTTAATTTTATATAATTATAAGCTATACAAAGACAAACTAACTAAATTATCAAAACTTATTAGTAAAAAAACTATTTTTTAAACATAATTCTTGATATTATGAAGTATTTTATTTTTTATGATTTTCAATCGGCAATATGAAACAAATTCACCTCTCCCCCTCCCATTATTTTGGTCCTAGACTTTTTCCTTCCTAGAACTTTAATTCATTAATTCAAATTAAATAATTATATCGGTAGGTACCTCATATTTTATACACCTATAATATAAACATGCTATTATTTTTTATAAAGTGCCTTTAATATATATATTTGATTTATGAAAACAGTGAATTAAAAAAAAATTTTTTCCAGGCTTAATGGAATCAAGATTCACATGTCCTAACAACTGCGGAAAATCATACAAACATAAATGTTCAATTTGGCGTCATATTAATTTTGAATGTGGTATAGAACCACAATTCCAGTGTTTTATTTGTCTTAGAAAATTCACGAAAAAATCAAATATGTTACGACACATGGGTCTAGTCCATAATCATATTTCTGATTAATGTATTTTACCTATTTAAGATATTTTATTTTATTTTCATATTACCGTTAATAATATAAATACAATATAACATCAGTATAAATAAATACAGAATTATGAATTAAAATAATTAAACAGTTTCAAAATAAAATGTTATAGGTGAAAATGTGTCACTATTTTGTCATTTCGTCCACGTTCAGATAAATTTCCTAGTCATTGTACTGCCTCATCTGACACTTAATGTAGATCTTTTAGAGTTCTAATAAACCTTTTAGTCGCATATTCTAACTATATGATACATTGTCTGTGCCTCCGCTCCGCAGTCACATCTCGGATCATTTTTAATCAGAATGTTACATCGGTCTTAACCTATACGAATTCGATTTAGTCTAGTCATAACATGCGACACGGTCTTAGTTAAATGAAATAAACATCCTTAACTAAATCCCCGTTAATTAAGAGATTGCTTTCTCATTCTTCCTTCCACATGGAGGGCTTAAGCTGTCTTAATTTTATTGACGTCACTCTTTCTAGGAACGGATGTCGGGATTTGAGTCTCGAGTTCTCGACTCCGCATTGTGTTACACGTAATTTTTTCAGTAGCCTTCAATACAAAGTTCTATCTTTTTTAATATTAAGACAAAACGCTGAGTTAAAGCTGCTGAAAAGATTTCGATGAATTAATGTATAAAATCTGTGGATGGAAATCTGATGGATAACACATTGTTTAAAATTTTGGGTACACGCAAACCTCACTGGAAATGGTACTAGTAAAAATGGCTATAGCATTTTTGTCAAAAAAAAAAAACCACAACTAACACAAAACAATTAACTGTTTATATTTACTGCCTATATTTGTAATTTATATTAAAATTTAACCCTCCAGAAGAGAAACTGCCCCCTTACCTTACACAACACACGTATGTTTTAAACAATAATACCTAGATGTACGTTGTACTTTGTACCTGTATTATTCTCTAGGTACATACCTATATTATAATTATATAGAATTTTGTTTAAAACCGGCCATAGTCATAAAAGTTAAACGCATTTTTAAATACGTATACTAGCTGTCCTATTTGGCGTTGTCCGACCAATTTTTTTTATTTTTTTTTATTTCATCCGTATCACCAAGGTAACCCATGAATAAATAAAAATAAATAAATAAATAAATAGATATTTATTCCCAAAATACATAAAAAAAAACTCCTACTTTAGCAGGTATACTCTGCCTAAGGGTTGAATTTTCAAAAATCCTTTCTTAGCAGACGCCTACGTCATAAAACAATCGAATTTCAGCCCGATCCATTCATTGCAATAGTTTGGGCTGTGCGATGATAAATCAGTCAGTACATGGTATATTATATTTATAAATAGATATAACCCATATATTTTATTAGACCAGGGAGTATTTTTTAGTTTATACAGAGCTAACAGAGGTCAAATTTACCAATTTATTGTTGTTACAAAAATTATGAATTAATTAAAAATATTTTATTTGTATTTATTTTTTTAGGGTTAATGAAATCAAGAATTATCTGTACTGACCATTGCGGAAAATCATACAAAATTAAACGTATTGTATTTATTTTCAACTTAACAGGATTAGCTCTTTTACAAAATTAAAAAAGAAATGAAGAAGAAAAGAATGTGGCACCTATCTATACAGGATGATCAATCTATCGTAAGACATTCGTTATCTCGGAAATTATTTACTTTTTCCGAAATTTGTTTTCTAAAATATTTAAGAAACTCTTCTACAATCTTATATTTATGTAATTTTTATTACCCTTATTTTTGTGGGTAAAACCAACTTTTGATTTTAAAATGGCAACCTGTATTAAAAGTTTCATAAATAAACGGAGTATTAGTTAAAATAAATTTTGATGTTAAAATTTTTGATTTCTGTCAAACTTTTGACGAGATCTTCCACTTTTAAATTTGAGTTTGGGGAAAGTGGTAGTGCATTATTCCACGCTACACGCCGTACCGCCACTCAAATAATACTCCACTTCTCTTCTCCAAACCAAATTTAAAAGTGGAATATCTCGTCGGTAATCAAAAATGTCAACTCTTAAATTTATTTTATATAACACTCAATTTGTTTATGGAATTTTTAATACAGGTTGCCATTTGAAAATCAAAAGGTAGTGGTTTTACTCCTAAAAATAAGGATGACAAAAAATAACATAAATATAAAATTGTAAAGCTGCATGTTTCTTAAATTTTCTAGAAAATAAATTCCGGAAAAAGTTAATACTTTCCGAGATAATGAGTGTCTTATGATAGATTGATCACTCCATATATAAAAAAATATAAAAATATAAATGGCAAATGAATTAATAATTATAAATATAGCATAAATAATACAATTAATAAAAGATTAGATACGACTTTGATAATGATAAAGTTGCTTAGAAAGGTTTTTCCGAATTAGAATAATCTTTTAACAATGTAGTTGACAACGTATCTAATATATTATGAGGTGTACTAAAAATATCTAATATAATAGAAACTTTACACAATTTTCAATGCTCTAACTAATAAGGAGTCGCTACCAATTTAAAACTTGTAATATGAAATAATAAAAACATCACGATTACGAGAGTAAAAGGGTGGAATTCTAAAGTTAATTCTAGCTCAAAGCTCAGGACATAAAATATTATTACTCAGTAAAGCATAGATAAACACAATGCTGGACAAATGACGTCTTAACTTAAGAGAATCTAAATTTACTAAACTTTTTACTAAAATAAAAGTCTCTAGAACCTAACCTAACGATTAGTCATATGACTTAAAAGTAATAAAATTTGTACAGTGAGTAAACAAAACAATTTTGCATTTATCTATATTTAATGGTAGGAAATTACTTTTACACTAATCGAAAAATTGGTCCAAGTTTTATTGTTAGTTAAATAAATCGGAAATAGAGTTAATTTGACTAATTTCAGTATAAAATTTAGCATCATCAACAAAAAATAATACTTTCATAATATTATATTAAAAAAATACCAAAAAATCGTTTATGAATATTAAAAAAAATAGAAATCCCAAATAAGACCCTTGCAAGGGTGGCTCTAGAGACTTGGTTGGGAGGGGCATAATTTTAAAAAAAATGTATACAAAAAGCATGTTTTATACCTTATAGTTTATTTATACTTCATAGTATAGATAGTAGATACTTCTAACTACACACTTGTATGTGTCTGTAATAGTCAGTAGTATAATATATTTTTTTTATAAAATTGTTCACAAAATATGCGGGCTTGGAGGAACATGGCCCTAGAGCAATCCCTGGAGTCACCCCTGGACCCTTGAGGTGCCTTAGATAATACTTAAAACTCATGAGACGTATAAAATGATATTTTTACCATGTGTGTTCGATTAAGTAAACACAATTTAATCCAGTTCCAAAGCGTACTGTAAATTCCAAAAGATTTTAATTTATGTAAAAATAATGTATGAGTAATTTTGTTATGATATCTGCTTACATATCTACTAATAGATTTAATATAATTCCAAAAGGATTGTATGTTAAAATCAATTTTTGATATTTACTTACTATGAGGTAGCAATAAGGAATTATTATTCTTTATACCTACACGAAGATCAGAAAACTTAGTGTAATCTATGTGCGAGTGTGAATTTAAATTGTTTGACAACTATTTTTTTTCAATCTTATCGATTCCCACAACGATTTATTCAACCAAATAATATTTTGCATGCTATTAGTACCTATATAATCGAATTTAAGGAATAAAAATATCAAAATTATTTTATGAAATTTTAAAACTAAGAATTCCAAATCTGGATTTTGAAATTTTTTTTTTTGTGTTCTACTCATTTGTGATTTCAAATCTAAGAGTTAAAACAAGGTATCTAAGTGTACAGTGTATACCTAAGCCTAACCATAAACTATAGCAAGTAGCAACTACTAACTTGGTATTTTGGTTTTTGTTAATTATAATGAATACTAAACGCAAATATAAATTCAGTTTGAAAAAACGCCTTGAAAAAAATAAAGAATTATTGTTGAAATGTGGAAATAATAAAAACCAAATGAAATTAATTTTTCAAAAGGCGAGTTCATTTTTCAAATAATTATGCTTCAGCACCTATGTTAATATTCTAATTTTTAATTAATAATGAATAATGTAGTTAGCAAGTACTGAGGTAGACCTACAACTTTTGGTGTAAAATTATAAACATATTACAGACAGTGCAGTATTTATAATTATAGGGGGTGATAGATCCCCAATATCACCCCGCTCCCTTTCCCTAGTTTTTTTAAAAAAAAGTTGTTTCTTACAACTTAGTTATCCTGTGCGCTGTGAGTGACATTACTATTGATAAAATATATATATATATATATGTATACAATTATATTTAATCAATGACATTACAAAATAATAACAATTAAAATAACCCGATGAGCTGATTTTTTAAAACTAAAAGCTAAATTGTATTTTTATAATGTATTAATGTTATCCATATTGATTAAGTTACTTATTAAAGTACATCATTCACTATAATAATATTAAAATTATTTTAAAAACTAAACATTTAAAATTTTTAAAAGTATTCAATATGTACTACAAACATACAATTATTTTTTGGTAACTATAATGATTGCTATTATTGCTATTAATTGTATAGATACACCTGAAATTTCCAATTTTAATACAGAACACTGTAGAATTAGGTAATTATTCATTTTGATTGTTTTAAAAAAATGTATTTAATATGTAAATGTTTATTTAGTATTATTTTTTTGTAATGTTAACGATTGTAATTGATTTTACAGGTGAACCTGAAGTTTCCAATACTGAACACTATATGGAACAAAGTATTGTTGATATTTCATTTAAAAAACCGAATTCAAATAATATTGTTGTGTATTGGTTATTTCACTCGCATCAACCAACAAACAAAATTCCATTTACAGCAGATAAAGCATATAAACAAAAGGATGGTAGTTATAGAAAATGGTTATCTTACAGTACCAAAGATAAAGCTCTATTTTGTAACACATGTATCGCATATGAACGTATTATATCCTTTTATGTATGTAGTTATCTATTAGATAAATTATTAAAGGGATCAAATAAAAAAAGATGAAAAATATTATTCAACTATTGTGTGTGGAATAAAAAGGTACCTATGATTTGAAAAATGTGTGAATCAACTATATCAAAAATATAATTATCCAATATATCAGCACTGTTTGAATTTTGTTCAGATTCATAATTTGTACCCACTTGTAAAATTAAGTAGGTAAATGAATACCTACCTGTTTTATATCATATTTTATATTTGTTTTACTATTCAATCGTTGAAACATAATTTCATATTTTATTGTATATTTTTGTCATGCAAAAAGTGACAAAATAATTTAAAAATTAAAAATGTATTAATATATCAAGTGATTCCTAAACTATTTATGATATCACTTGATATACATCTTTATACAAAATAGTTATATAGGGATAAAATAAAGCATTTAAACATTTTTTTTTTTAAACATGATTTTTACATTCGGTAACTTTTTGCACTATATCGATAATTTATATAAAGACTTGAACTTTCTTAAAATTAACTATATTCTTTTAAAACTAAACGTATAAAATAATCTATACAATTGAAAGTGAAACTTTTAAGTTGTATCATTTGTAATAATTTGCGTTCTATTAGTAGCATCATATTATATTGGTTCGTAATCATTAAAAGTATTTTATTGTATGTCTAGTTCATAGGTGCTGTCCTATTAATTATTTAAACGCTTTTAATAAAGGACCTATTTACCTATTTTAATATTATAAAAATAGTTTTGAAGCAAAAATTATTTTTTTCAGAATCATTGAAATCAAGATTTAAGTGTCCTAACAACTGTGGAAAATCATACAAAAATAAATGTTCAATTTGGCGTCATCTTAAATTTGAATGTGGAATAGACCCACAATTTGAATGTCTTATTTGTCAAAAAAAATTTACGCATAAATCAAATATGATTCAGCATTTAATTTTAATCCATAATTATACTCATAATGTACCTATATAAATAAGTACCTATACAGTATGCATATTAATAATAAAACGTATAAATATTGGTGTTGATTAATTTGATTTCAGTATACTGTAACATCCAATTTTATATTTTTCTTATAGATTATCTAAATTGTTTACATATAGATACTAGAAATAGATACTAAGTAAACAAAATATAAATTACTAAAACAAAATACTCGACATTTTTAAAAGTAAAGTACAGCTATGTACTGTAAGAAACTTTTGACATTTTCAGTTATAATTATAAATTAGGTACTGAAATCAATACAATTTTTATTACTGTTTTAGTTTTAGTGACATAAGTGGTATGAACGGGCCATGATAATAATATATTATCATGATGGATTTTCCTCATTTTTTTTTTTTTAACTTATATAAGAGTATACGCATTATACTCCTATCTGATTTTTCAACAAAGTGTTGAGAGTATATACGGCTTATATGCAATGCCCCACGAAAATATAACACATTGCAGTATCTCCCGAAATAATATAGATAGTCAGATTCTGTTTTTTTGTATATATTACTCCGGGGATAAAATTTACAAATATTTAAATAACTACAAATATTAATTGAATTAACTTTTATTTTATTAGTTTCAAAGAATTTTAAGATAACCAATTTATAAAGTTTATACTTCGGAAAATTTTGACGTTTCAACTTATTATTTTCACTGAATTCATTATTTTTAAAAAATGTTTAAATTTACGAAACAAGTACTTCCAATTGTACAACAGGCTATAATCACATATGCTAATTGATTATTATTATTATAGCCAATTGAATATATACTTTTATTTAGGAACTTTAAAAAATCACGTTAAAACGTCAAATTAGTAATTTTTTTTTAAGTTTCTTACAAAATATAAAAATGAATTGAAATATAAATATTTGTAGTCCTTATCCCTGAAAGTAATATTAAAAAAAAAAGAAACAAAATTTGTTTATCTTTATTATCACCGGAGATTTTACAAAGGGTGTATATTCGTAGGACATCCTGTACCACCCTTTTCTGCATCACTAACTTATATAAAAAGATTGACATACTTCGTACGTGGGTGCAATTTCTGTTGTAAGTGAGAAGTTGGGAAAGTTGTAGACAGAAAATTGAATGTATATCTGTAATCAACGCTAAATCATTGCTAACGAAAAAACAATTCTGAGCGGATTTCAGTTGATAGTGTTGCTTTTTCAATAAATTATGATTAACATTAATAATTCACCATATTATGATAAAATAAATACATATGAATTATATATTTCTTTAATAATATTTGTTTAATATTGTACCTATTTTTCTGTTTTTCTTAGGGTTTTCCCATGTTTTTCTCATTTATTGGGGAAAATCGAAAAAGTACCTCCCCAGTCAGATTTTTTTTTATTAAAAAGTGCTATCATTGTAAATTGGAGCAAAATTGCTGATATAAAAGTTGTTCACAGGAAAAAATAAAGTGGTAATATTTTTAACAAATACCTACATTCGTACATTTTCATGTTTTTTTTTTTCGATTTTTCACATTTTTTTAAGAAAACTCATAGGAAAATCGAAAAGTTATCTCTCTGAAGTACCTAGTTAGATTTTCTAACTAAATTGAAATAAAGTTGATTATAAAACCATAAGCTCACTAAGCTTATAAACCCATTCAGAATCCCAATCAAATACTATAAATACGGGACAATTAATATTAAAATGCTTGCAACATAATATCCTCACATAATCGTTGTGAATGCCTATATAAGAAATTTAAGGCGTTGTGTCAACTCATGATGAGGGTGTGATAGGAATTCCTAATTTTGAACTTAACTTAAATTTAAAACAATATATAATAGGTTTGTAGTAATTCGATTACAATTTTATTTATTAATTATTGTTTTTACATCTTTGTAGTAAATTTTCCTTTCTTAGTGTAAGAATTAATTGCAACATTTAAAATTATATCTACTAACAAATATTTCAATTTTAAACATATGTCTAGTTTCTTAAACAAAAATTTGTTTACTAAACTAATTCTTCTCAATTTTATGTTTATCTTACTGTTTGAAATTAATTCGTTAATGTTATTGTTAGAAAGATAGATAACTTTTTGGAGATAAACTAATGTTGGTTTAAGTAGATACAACAATTTAATACCTGTATAATCTTCTCTTATCAATTATTCTGAACAGTAACTTTCCAGATAAACAGGTAAATTTTCATTTAAACAAACCATTTTTATCAACCTTAACATAAATAATATTAAAAATAATACAGACCCTTATTTATAGTATTTGTTTGATCGATTTTCTTTGATTCAACACCGTATAATGATTTAAATAGGCAACATATATGTTTTTTGAGGAAGAAAATGTGTTTTAATTTTTAACGAAGTCCCGTATTCTTATTTATAGTATTTGATACAATCCATATGTTCCCAAATTCATCTATGATGACACCGATGACAGCAATGTTATTTTTTTTTTAATTCGTAAATCTCTGATTGTTTTATCACTTATCTACCTTCTTTCCAAGTGGGTTTATAAGATGTGGTTGTTATCTCTTTTATTTTATGGTGATAAGTGATAACCTTTAATATTATGTTTTTTTTCTAAGTATTTTCATTTCATGTGATATTCGTGTCTCTTTAATTTTAGTTATTATTTATGTATAAACTATATACTATTAATATATAAATAATCAAAACCATAGGTTTTGATTATTTCATGTGATCAATGGTCTGTAGTTATTGTCATTATAGAGTGCTTGAATTTATTAATACAGTCTCGAATGCGATATTTTACACTATTTTAATTTATAATATCTGAATTATTAGTATTACATCCGATAGTTATATTCATTTATAATTAATTATATAATTATTATATATTAATTTATATTAATCAATTTAGCTATCAAAACATAAGGCATAGCTGATTCCATTCTTAAAATCTTTAATTTAAAATTGTGTATGTATTTATTATTTATGTAAATCATATTCACGATAACACTGAAAAAACGATGTTCCCTTATTATTTCATGGTATCATCAATGATGCCACCGCTGAGGCCATCACAAATAATTATTAAGAAATATATGGAATGTCATCTCTTAATTTATTATAGTCAGAATTTATATTATATAATATGTAATATTGTCATACTGATATAAATAATAATATATTCTATTTAATTATTGATGATATCATGATAAATGATAACATATTGTTCAATAAAATCTGGCCTTACAAGTGGCTAGTAATTTTGTATTAGAAGTAACTTACTACCAATACAAAACATAAAACAAACTATAATAATAATAAATCAAAAATAACAGAAACCATAATTGCGTAAATATTTCAGTTTTCCGACTCTTTTCCAATTATTGAAAACTACAAGGAAAATGAAAAATAGTCTCTTCAATGTACCAACAAGACAACATTTTCGACTAAAATTTAGCCCTGTAGTTGATGATCGGATCAAGATGTCTGGTCGAAAAGTTATGTATAAACAGAAAAATAGAGAATAATAATAAATTGATAATTAGAATAAACTATCTATATAATAGAATATATATTCTATAATCAATGATACAACTAGTTTTTGCCAACTTTTGTTGTCATCAACGGAAAACATTGATACAATATAGGATTCCGTTAGACCTTACCAAACCTTTCTTATAAACATTAAATTTGTAACCTACCTTTAAAAGGTATTCTAATTAATAGTGAATACTAAATTATGTACTCGTAATATAGATTGTAGAATTATCATAAGAGTTAATGGGTACGCGATGGGTGAACACTGGCTTGTGACCACAATGGATGCAAATAAACAATACGCGAGTAATAGGGAGAATACGTTATTTAAGGTTCATCACCAATTAATGGTTCTTTCATGAAAATTGAAAACATAGTCAAAATTGACCAGCAAACCGGTTAGGTTAATTGTAAAAATATACTGTATATATACCATATATAAGACGGACATACCTACTTCGCACGATTGGTGGGTCACTGTTGTAGACGAAAAGTTGGGATGGCAGGATATATAGGGGATTTCAATTTAATCTGTATGCAACGATAAGCCATTGCTAACAAAAACCGATTCTTAGCGAAGTTTCTTTTATACATGCACGTAAGTTTCCCCGTATTCCCTACGTTTTTTTTCGGGTTTTGTCAATAATTATTATTAAAAGCGCTTGGAAAATTAAAAAATGGCTTCTCCGATGTAGGTACCGTATAAAGAAAATTTCCTTTCAAAAAAGGTGCCACACATACATATCGAAGCAAATCTTCCGGTAGGAATTTTTATCACAGTATAAAAAATAAACATCATTGAAAAACTAATACATTCTGCGTTACGCTTAGAATCTAAAATAATAATCACAATCTATACACCTAAAGTATATATACATATATGCATATTTTTTTCATTTATAAGCATCTGATAAACTACTTTTGAAATTTGGAGTAAGACAAAATCGATAATTATGATTGCTGTTTGGAAAATCAAAAAGTTACCTAACCAATACACCAACTAGATCCAAAATATAACGAATAACAATGAGTTTTGTTGTTTTTTTATTGGAGCGAAATTTCTGGTAGAAAAGTTGTTTCATTCCAAGAGACGACCGACACTTAATTCACGAACAAATAACAAAAATACCTAACGCACTGCACACACACACACACACACATTACACACATATTTACACAAAATATTACACAACTACGACGATGTGTTAGAATAATTCACAATCGAACATAGAAACGGTTAAAATCGGACTGAATATTGCCGTAATAAACTGTCGGTCATTACCAACAGATTTTTTCGAATAATTCGTTCATATAATATATTGTAGATACAGTCGAACTGCTAACCGTCGGAAAAACGAACTTTAGAAATTCATTGCATTAATATCGTGTGTACGCTATATCGTATAAATATACGCAAACGCATCGCGAAAGTTGACCGGACTGAAAACGACTTGTACCGCGGGCTGTTACCGCCGTTACTTATAAGTTATGACGGTGACATTTTTAGAACAATGATTTAAATAATAACGTGCCGCTTTTAGCCAGTTTATATAGGTGCGATTGTACTCGATATTCGAAATTCTATAGTCACTTGCGATAGGCATATAACTCGTGGTTTTGTACAATATTTTTGTTAACACTGCGCACAAGGCAAACTATTTTTTGTTTTCCTAGAAGTTTCACCAGTAAAATAATGTATTTTAGGAATAGTATTTTCGCGCATTGAGAAACATTGTCTTCCGAAAGATTATTTTGGATTTTGTCGGTCGGTTCGCCGATTACTGATCTACGATCTAGATCATTTTAAATGAGTGTAAGTATATAATATGTCGACACTTCGAATAGGAATTTCACATTTTAAACACAAATTCAAATATTTGTTTAAAAATTTATATATGAGTAGTAACATTATAACATCGGTATTACAGTTGTGTGTTTATACATAGTCTATATATTAGGTGTCATTTAAAATGTCTTAGATGTTACCTATAACAACGAGGCACATAACCCACACTTAATAAACTCGTTAAGTTTCATTGCATAATGAAAATTTAAGTACGCCGTAGTGGCGTAGTTAGGTATTACTAAGAATAAGAAATTGTATTTTTATTACATATTTTAGAATTATCACTTGTCAGTTGAAACCTCACTATCAGTGATTTTTACATTTTAGTTATTAAAATTGATTGAGAATTAAGTATTTTTATTTTTTTCATATGTTTTATTTAAAGTGTTTTACATACATTTTCTAATGTCTATTAAAATGAATAAAATAAAAAGAAACCGAGTACCAAACTGGGATAACGAAGAAAAGATAATATTCTTTCACTATATTATAAGTTACCAAAATATTTCGGAAGATCCGAAAAAAGAAATCACCAAACAAATGCCTAAGAAAATATGTTATATTATTTAAGAGTGGCGTATTTAGTCCTCTTTAACGGCCGTGGGGGAGCGAAATATATTTTCACCCATCTTAAAAATTTAAAAATTATAACAATGCACACATATTGTCACATACACATTTTTATATTCGAAATATAGGTACACCCGTTACCAAAATAAATTTATATCAAACCAGATATTCAATATGTATACTCTTTTAAAACAAATGTGCAAATTCTTAAAGTTCCGAGCTTCGATTATATAAGTAGCTAGATACCTACTTTTAATATATTTTTAATATTTACCGGTATCTTTTATAATACTGAATATCAGGGAAAAATTGTAATGGATTTTTGAATTATTATAGATAAATTTAATGAAATCAATAAATTATAAAAGATCATTAATTTTAATTATAATTAAATTATTATACATTTAATTATATTAAAGAATCTTCTAGTTGCATTATTTTTTTCATCAACAAACTGCACAAAATCAATACGGACATTTCATCCCAGAAACAAATTTTTATGTTTCGTATTACACACTTTTTAGTTTAGACCATAAATCCAAGGTCACAGAATAAAATTTGCTCCCATACCCTTAAATATAGTTATTTTTCACTAATTTTTCTACCATTTATAGTTGTTTTTTTTTTAAACAAATATTTCCAGGTTTAAACTTTATCAAGGAGAAATGTATAGATAATGTAAGAAGTAAACTTAAAAAAAAAAATATTACATAATATCAACTATTTTGTACTTTATTTATACATTATTCTTTCAACAAATTTGTTTAAATATTGTTCCTCTGGGTTTAATTCCTTTTTCAAAGTCAGTAAACTAATTTTAACAAACATTAAGAAAACATTCTAAATCATTGTAAATCGGAGCAAAATTGCTGGTAGAAAAGTTGTTGACAGGAAAAAAAAATCGTAATATTTTACTACTATATTTTATACATTTTCCCGTTTTTTCTCATTATTTCCCTTTTATTGGGAAAATTACTTGGAAAATCAAAAATGACCTTTTTGAAGTACCACTCCAAGAAAATTTCCTTTCAGAAAAAGTACTACATCGTATGCATCGGAGTAAGTTTTATAGTATAAATAGTGTTCACATAAAAAAAAATTAATATCTTTGTAAAACCAATACATTCTTCGCTCCACTCAGAATCTAAAAATTAAATGGGTAACTATATAGTGTCAATAAATATGTAAACAAATTGAGTCAATTGACAAAATTATTATTTTTGTGTTAAATTATTATATAAACTAAAATCGTAGTTTACGGCTCCACTAAGGATGGTCTATTCACCATTTAATTTTAAGTGGAAACTTTAAGTCCTCTTTCACACCATGGTTCATGGTCGCGACACTACAAGATATTGATAATGAAATTAGGGATTTTACACATAGTGGCGCCACCAAGTTGGTCACCCTAAGAAGTTTGCACGACCTGACACATGGACGGCAAGACGCGCGATCAAATTAGAAGGGCAACCATTTCAGTTTATACTGTTAGTGTACAAAAACCTAACCTGACCCGGTTGCCAAAAAGTGCATTAAGCTATCAAAAAAATTTAAATTAACTATGTCGCCAAAACAGTTTGTTCACGAAACTAGTAACCAGGTTGATTAAAATTGTATCGCCAAAACACGCCTATTAATAAACGATGTTAGAAGAACGTTCCGGCTTTTTCCGATTCTGGCGGCGAGTCGGTCGCGGTTCCGACCAATGAGAATATAGACACTTATAGAAACCGCTCTGGGCCATCCTAATACGTGACCAGAGCCAGGGTTGTGCGATGGTAACGACGTTGCACAGCGACGATTATAATAATTGTGATAAAATAATAGTTACGTTACGACACACAGTAGTGGGCGTGGTGTAGGTGACGGTGGTGGTCGGGGTGAGATTAGGGTGAATGAGTGGAAGAAGTGGTGGTGGTGGGGATGGTAGTAGGGTAGTACGTAGCGGTGAAGTGGTATTGTACCGAGTGTAACGGAAAAACCGGTCACAGAAAAATCGTTTACGGAAAAAATGTGTTATATCCGTACGGCAAAAACATAATATACGTTTGAAAAAAAAAAAAAAAGGTTAAAGGGGGAAGAAACCTGTATCTCCCTCATTTCACCCCTAAATATATTGTTTTGTGGTATTATCCTCGTGATAGGTACGCGCCAGATTATTATACAAAATATTCAATCTAATCCTGCGTCCAAACGGAACTTCGACTTTCGGGATTTATACTTACCCGTTAAAATAACAGATACGGTAGTTTTGTATAATTAATAATAGTACCGGATAAATAATTCGATTTAGTTATCTATATGTGTAAAAAGTTACAAAAAAAAAAAAATAATAATAACAATTTATTAACGGGTTGTTAAAATTGCATTTACCTAATACGGGTCACGCGGTAAAAGGAAAGGAATGTTCAACGTTATTATTGTTTAGGAAAATCGGAAAAAAACATTTTTAAGGGCGCCGCCGCGACAACAATGGGTGCGCAAAATAGCAGTAACAATAACAATAATATTGTTGTCATCGCGGTGTATAAAAATCGAAGCGCGCGCTGGAAACCGTTGCCAACGTCTGGCGGTGAGTGTCCCGCGCGCGCCGCCAACATCTGTTCGGTGGTCCCACGAATCCATTATGGCGTGTATCGGCTGCCGCCGCCGCTATCCGTGATAGCAGCGAACCTGGTGTGCGCGTGTCGTGTTTGATCCTCGGGTTTTTTTTTCCGATTTTTTTTTTTTACACTTCTCTCTTCTTCGCGTTGTCGTTTTTCCACCGCCGTACGGGTTCGGAATTGGTTTTGAGGCGTGTGTGTGCGAGTTTGTGCGTAATTGCGCGTGCGTGTAGCATGCGTGTTTCAGTGTCGGTTCGCCGTGCGAGTGTGTGTCCGATTTTGCTCCGTGTGCGTGCGTACGAGTTGTGGTGGTGATGCCCAAACGGACGAAAATAATAATAATATCGTCGTGTAGATCTACTGCTGCTGCCGCTGCCGCTGCCGCCGCCGTCGACGCTTCAGTGTAATAGTCGAAAAAATAAAAAAAAAAAAAGAAAGAAACGCGTTCGTCTCGCTGCCGCCGCCCGCTATTCCGCCGCCGTCGTCGTCCGCGCGCACACACACACACCGGGCGTTTTCGAAACGGGTCCGGGACACACAATAATAATATTTAATGAAATATTTCAAACCGAACCGCCGCGCACACACGTCGTGATAATAATATTATTGCTAAATTCGTACGTAACTACACAATGTCATTTTAACGATCCGTTTCTCATGGATAGAATGATAGTGACGATAATGCATTTAATTCGCATCACAATAATATTCGCGACGTTATAATTACAATTTTATTTATACCTATACACTTTTATAAATATATATTCCTTTTCTTTTTTTCCAACTCGACAATACAACATTTCAAACCGTTCCGCCAGAGTTTTGCGTGTTTATAATATCATTTTTTACTCTACGGCCGTCATCGTCTACATCACAAACGCGCCATGGGTCACACACGATAGTTCCGAGTTCGGTACATCCGGTGGAAAAAGCCAGTTTATCGTCGTGTCGCGTCGTGTCGTGTCCGCAGTCCGTCTCCCCTTTGGGTCGTCGCGCTCTCCGTACGCTCGCACGTGAGATAACAACAGACGTGCAACAACACCAGAGCCTCGTAGTGAACAGGTACAACTCGTCATGTCTGTGAGTCAACAGTTTTGCCTGCGATGGAACAACCACCAGAGGACCCTGATTTCGGTGTTCGACAGTCTGCTGGAAAGTGGCACCCTAGTCGATTGCACGCTGGCCGCCGAGGGACGGTATCTAAAAGCGCACAAAGTCGTTTTGTCGGCCTGCAGCCCATACCTGGGGGTAAGTACGAGAGTACGGTTGGATATTATAAGTCGTAGTACGGAATCGGATTTTTTTCGTAAGGAGATACCCGTTAGTATCGAGTATCTTACAAGTATATTGGTATGTGTTTGCGCACGCGTCTATGTGTGTGTGTTTCGTTTAGGTACTCGTAATTATTTCCCTTTGGAATTCCCGTTGCCAAAGATAAAAAACAAACATTAGGTACTTTCCACGTTTTTATGTGCAGGTAAATTACCTAGAACTACCGTAAATAAAAATAAATTGTCCGCTCTCCCCCCGGCATAATGTTAATAAATCTCAGCGAGCAGGATCTTGACGAAAGTTAGGTATTCATTATTATGATTATTTATTTTTTTTTTTTAGGGCATTTCCGTTTTGTTTTGGCCTACTTACGCGCGTGTGTGCGCCGTACGGTGTCTGCACATGATTTTCACCAGGCGGTATGAAAACCAGTTCCACACCCCTTCACTTTTTTTCCTTCCTTTTCCTGTCCCGTTATTCGCACACAGTGCAATGACAAAGGAAATTTCTCTTTTTATTTTTTTCTTTTTTTTTTTCGTGAATCGAATTCCCTTCTACAGTAATTGGCAAATATTTTATGCCCAACGGATAATAATAATAGGTATCTACTAAAGAATTGACATACACACGCGCGCCCGCAAATACACACCTATTTATTTACAAATCAAATTAATTATAATATACTTAGACATGTGTGTGTATACAGGTATTTGTCGAGGTATTTTTGATAGTAACATTTTTTTTTATTTATTAATATTCTATTTACACCTAGGTATGCTATTGATTGAATATAAATAATACAAAACACGATACCTAGGTACTTTGTTTTTGTTGATATTAAACATGTGTTGATTACAAATTCCTAAAACAAATATTAGAATTTGTAGAAAAAAATTTAAAAAACTACTTCTTCACTATCATACTGAATAACATTATTTTATCTATTTGGATATTACCTAAATATGAACATATAATATAGATAATCTAGATAATAATATTTACACATTTTGTATGCCTAAATATTATTACAGGGGAACTTGACATTCACCGATAGAAATATAAACAATGTAAGGTGATTCAAACTTTAAACTAAGTACCTACCTAATTGTTTCAATACTGAATATCAACATTTTTTTTTTAGCTTTGAAAAATTGGTGGATACTGTACCTACCTTTAATTACTAATACTATTTATCTGCCTACTTCTAATGATTGAGGTATATCAGTTAGTTCTTCTAAAACAACTTTGTACATACTACCTATTCTACGCTATTATAGTTATACTTAAATATTGTATTATATTTAATACATCAAAATAACATTTTAACCATTAGGTATTAATACAAGTTGTAATCTAATAAGATTATGACCTATAATAATACAAATTCAACATTTTTTTCTGACCAAATACACCTAGGTACCTAGGTATTTCAGTATTTGTGTTTCGTTAGTGTAATAAATACTTAGCGAAAGTTAAAAATAAATGAAAAATATTCAAGTATGGATTCTGACAGAGGGTAAATCACCAACAGAAATGTGTACAAAATGTACAAATGTTTGGCCATCATACAGAAAATCCCATAAATAAATCTCTGCAATCGTTGGGAAAGTCTTGGTATTCTGGAATCCGATGTACATTGTATCGATTAGTGATTTACCTTTTAGATTCTGATATACATAGGTTTGTAATTGAATACATACAAATACCAAAATTTCAAAAGAATATTACTACCATTAAATATTGCTACCGAATTATTCTAATTATTCCAAAAAAATAGACAAAGCATATTTATCCATAAATTTAGTTTAAGTTTAATAACGTTTTTTTAAACTATGTGTCATGTATACAAAGTTTTTATCAAAATAAATCTTATTTAATCATTTTAACATGTATAAACTCAGCATTTAAATGTGTAGGTTACTTGTGTAGTTATTTTTCCATTAAATGTTATATTTCTATTCTTTGTCAGTTTAGTTTTACTTATATAGGTACTTACATTTATTTATAAACCCACCTAATCCTTCTCTATTTCTAACTATTACTATAAGATACCCTGTGTAATTATTAGCATAATATTATTAGTGTAGGTAGATTAGATATCTAGTTACTATTAATAGTTAGATATTATGATAATGTTAAAATCATTTGCAATCTACATCAGGTACCTACCTGAGTACAACCGGATCTAAAAATCACTAACAAAGCACCATATAATTATAATATACCTATTATGATTTTTTTTTTTTAAATTTTAAGTGGGTACTTAAATAAATTATAATAGAAATCTACCTATCTTTGTATTACCTATTAACAGCATACAATTTCCCTAGCTTTAGTTAAATTGAACCAACTTATAAAAAAAAATTGTATATAAGTGCTTCAAATAAAGTAGGTACTCATAGGTTCTCTTTTACCTATTTATTTTTAAAGGAATACCAATATTTGTATTAATCATATTAGGTAGGTAGGTATCTACTGTTTTCTTATTTACTCCAGTTAAAATGTAAAATAAGTTGTAATAAGAACTTCTTATATTTCTATTAAAAATTGAATTTCAACACTTCATATTCATGTTTTTATTTTTTTATTTCTATTTAATTTTGAAATATTTATCAATTATTGTATGTATATACATACATTTATATACATATTTATGCATATCTATATGATATGATAAGTCCCATCCTCGATCATTTCTAATATTGCTCATCAATTGTATACCTACCTACAAGCCTATTATTATTTTATTACCTTGGTATATAGTAGTGTCTTGGTTATGCTTTAAATATGTAGGTACTCTCTTGTTACCTATACTATACTATATTCACTGACATATTATACGTAAAATTAAGATAATTAAGTACACATTTTATAATCAAGGTTATAATATAAGTAGGTATATAGGTTATTTATATTTGTTTTTATTTAAATTAAATAAATATAATTATGAGTTTGTTGGTGTCTAAAAGTTTTGCAGTTTAGTAGGATTCATTCTTATTTCTCTAGGTATGAAAATATTAACCTAAGTAAATTGTTCTATGAATAGAAAATGAAAAAGAAACCATTTGAATTAATAAAAAAAATAAATAAATTGATCTTTCTTTTTTAATAAGTGTACTTCCTATAGGTAAATTTCCTTTCTCCTTTTTTCCATCTAGCTTACTAAAATATTTTTATCAGAGCCCTACCCTTCTAGACATACCTTTCTGATTTCACTTTCTTGAAAGCCCTCTACTATTCTGCTTTCATATTCTTGGCATTACATTCTCTTTGAATATTTTTAATAAACATCTAGTAGTTTTTCATACTACCTATGTATCCTCTCTCATTTAAATGAGTGGTTATTTGCGTACAGTTTTACATTTTATTAATGTAATTTATTATATTAAATTATGATTATAGTTATAGCTTTCAAGGCATTGCCAATTAATTTTACAAATATATTAAATTAAAACATTTATTACAATATACCTACATTTGTATTCTTATGTACCTATAAATATACCCAAAGTAAATACTTACCTGAATCAAATTCCAGAATTGAGTTTGACTGTTTCATTTAAAAAATAGTATTCTGCAAGAAATATACTTATACATATTTTTATTTTTAGTTAATAATTAACTACACAATATGATACAGCTTGGTCTAGTTGCAGCTTTGCACCTATCTGCCTAATTTGAAAAATATTACAAATCTTATGTTATGTTCAAATTTGACCTAATTTTAAGAATTAGTTACCTGCATAACTCATTTCTAAAAAATGTGCAAAGTGAAAGTTATTCTAAAATAATTAATGATTAAATCCTTAGGTAGTACAAGATTTATAACACAATTGGTATGGTTAAATGTGTAATGACTAATAGGAATAACCAAATGCATCCTACATTTGCCTGTTTATTCAATGTTTTATGCATCCTCGGTTCAACACATAAACATGGACAATTAGATTCACAGTTTAAACATATCTGGATATATTACATAAACAAATAATAACTTATTAGCATACTGATTGAAATTATTTTTCTTGACATTTTCGCACAAAAAGGCATATTTTTTTTAAATGGCTAAACCAATAATCACAAAACAAATGTATTTTGAAAACTTAAAGTCTCTACTTTACAATGACACCTTTATCATACAAATTTGTATTTATTTTTATTCTTTATTTTCAATTATTTGTTTAAAAATTTGAAATTTAGAACTAAAATGTAGGTAGATAGTACTCCTATATACCTATACCTATTAAAATAATTTTTGTTTATTATAGGTAAATACTTTCAATGGATATGTTCTTTATATATTTAGAAATTAATACAATTCTCAATATACCTATAGTAAATTAAAATTATATTTTCTACTGTAAAAATATATATTATTTACCTACTGGGTAAACATCAGTTCACAATTTGCATAATTTATCCCTGGCCGTTTTATGAGTAATTTTTAATTTGGTTGAATTAATATATAGTTTATCAAGTGTGTTTTGCTCAGTGGCTGAGGCCTCAACTGTCTCAGTTAGCTAGTTTTTGGTAACTATTTGTTTTCTTATTAGATATGACTAGTCGCTACTGTTCTGAGCAAAAACCACTTATGTGTAATAACTTTTAATGAAACTAGGGTTTTCATGCTACAATCATTTTATAATAAATTTTTAGATAAAAATCACAGACTTTATGTTCTGCTCTCGGTGCAGTTTAATAGCCAGCCATTATCACTTGTAGAAAATTACTTTAAGGAAATACCATTTGATCAGTAGTTCAACAATTGGCCATAGTGGCTAGCCGTGCATAGGAAATCATACCTTTATTGGCTAGTTGATGATTAAGCACTTCATTACATAAATAAACCGAGGAGAATATTTATGTCATGCTATATTTACTAAGTTTATACTGATACATTATATTATAGATATTTCTATATTGATAAATATACCTAACAATCAAATATCATATATAAAATATTGGATATATTTTATAGCTACAGTTTTATTATATTTTTGATTTACATAGATTTATATATATATATATATATCTTTTACTATATTAGGTAATTAAGATGGGCTGCATATCTATTATATAATATTATAATAGTTAAACTGGTAGTATCACTACCCACAGTGAAACTTGTAGTTAAGGGTACCATTTAAAATTATCAATATTATAAAAAAAATATATATTTATAATATTGTTTAAATTATTTTCTCAATATAAGTCTTAATAAAAACCGGTAAAAATAAATCTATAGGTAAATGCATATCTAAATAAAGTCACATCTTTGTTTTAGCTTTGAAATATTCAATAATATTTGATAATATATAATATTTATATAGGTTTAAATCTTAAACTTGAATTTCTAACAATACTTTTAAAAACAAGACTATACATATATGTATAAAATAATATCACGTATCTACTTAATATACAAGTGCTTCAATTAATACTAAGATTAATACTTATAAATCTAACATGAAATTGTGACAATTTTAAAAAATTATATTTTTTTTTATTCAATATACATAATATATTTTAACTGGTATGAAACATGTATCAAATATATTTTTAACATAATTTTAATTTTTTTTAAAGGTTTTATTGAGCCAACATCAAGAAAAACACCCAATTTTAATTTTAAAAGATATCAAATTTCAAGAACTGAAGTCAATGTTAGATTACATGTATCGAGGTGAAGTAAATATTTCTCAAGAAGAACTTGGTACATTTTTGAAAGCGGCTGAATCTCTTCAAATCAAAGGTTTAACAGAAAGTGCTGGTATTGGAGTTCGTGATACTTCAGATTTTGAGGATCCAGTATCTAAACGTTTTGACAACAGAAAACAACCACCTTCTTTATCATCAGTCAGTTCTAACTCTCCTACTATTTGGAACCAAAATGACACTGTACGTACGTATTCAAGACCAAGAGATGGTAGTTTATCTCCAACCAGTAAAAAACGGAAATTACAACGAACAAATGGACCTGATGATCATCATCATGATAATGGTGATGATAGTATGACTGAATCTGAACCTCAAGGTGTAGAAAAATCACCCACTAATAATAATAATATTCCTTCTTCGGGCAATAAGGTAGTTATTAAAACTGAACATTATCGTAAATCATGTTCACCAGAAAAAGAAGTGCATAAGGTAACTGAAAATCAGGTGGGTAAACCAAAAGTAGAATCAATTTCTGGAGATCGGCAAGAGTGTTTGACAGAAATGTCCTATGACGACAGTGTAGAAGATATGCCATTAGAAGAAGAAGAAGAAGAATATGAAGAAAATGAATTGTCTCAGCCTGGAACTTCACAAGGAGATACCAATCACACCGGTAAATATTTAAAAATAAATTTGATTTTAAGTTAAATGTCAGTACATATAACTCGAGTATAATTTCTTTTTTCCATTCTTATAGCAAAGCCACAAACAAATTCATGGCAGTTAGAAACAACTAATCAAGATAGCACGAATACTGTTAATACACCAATGGATTGTAAAGGTAAGACTTCTAAAATATATTTGTAAAAAAAAAAAAAAAAAAAAGATACATAAATAATTAAATTTTCAACGGATAAAGTGAACAAATTAATTTTAGTGTTAAATGTGTATCCAATATGCATGAAAAAAAAAAGAACAAATCATTTTTATTATTATATGGATGAGGTACCTACATGTAAATTTGTATTATTACCTATTATTTTTTTTTTTTTAAGTACCTACCCATTAACAAAAACAAATTTAAAAAATAATGTATACCTAGGTATGTTGAATCACATAAAAAATATATAATTATTAAAGTTAATTTTTTGAAATATCATTTATGATTAGATATTTTTTTGTATAAATAAAATAAAATAAAAGGCTTAAATACTAGGTATCCTTTTGAGAATGTTGTAATACATTTAAATCAAATTTGAATTTTTACTATTTGGAAAAATTGGAAAAACTAGATTCAAGTACATTTACTTAAGATCAAATAAATATTGGTTTATTTTATACACCTATTTAAAATTAATAATTTATGTATAGGCAAATTATATTTATATGTGTTATTTTTTATTCTACTTTCCAAGTTGGTTAACAAAAATGATTCTATTAACACACTATTGTATTATAATATGCATGTTATTATGAGTTTGGTTTATTTTATATGCATGTATCTGAGCTTGGTTTCATGGTTTGCTTTTATAGTTTTTTTTTATAAAACTTGTAAATATTTGCTTAAATTTTTGTATTATATCTTAGATCATAGTATTTTAGCGAACAATGAAATTACAGGTAAACATAAGTAAGTTTTATTTTAATAATTATATTATATCTTGTACTCTTCACCAAATGATAAATTAAGGTTATCTAGCGCGATTGTATATATATATACCATATTAAAATCTGAAATTTATTTTAATAATGATGTGAAGATTTCCTCTGAGAATGACCAGATTACTAGCATTTCTTATCTTTATTCACTGTTTAAATATAGACAAGATTATGATTCAAATTGTAATACAAACAGATCTACTAAGTGTGATTAAAGTCCAAATAAATATTAACTACTGTTGATGGATAATGAGAATTAAGATCTACAAATTTATTTTATTGTTACATTTAATTTTAGTCACGTTGCTTACAAATTATAAGATACTATATAAGAAAATGTATTGATTGTATATTATGTTATAGTAAATTGTCATGTCAATTTACATTTAAAAAAACAAGTGCTGTTTTAATTTTTTTACTAATTATCATTTATTGGAGCATTTTTCATTTAGTATAAGTTATATTTCATAGAATATTTTTTTTCCTTGTAAATTCTATCTAGTTTTTAAATACAACAATAAAAATAACATTATAGGAATCAATAATTAATAATTCAAGATAATAAATTGTTTAATAGAATTCTTTGTTTAGTTTTTTTTCATTTTAATGAGCAACTACTTTTTTTCTGACACCACTCGCCATACAGGATATAATAAAACATTCCTTATCTGTGGCCTTTCTTTGATATCTTAATACAGGTTTATCATTGACCATTTGACAGAGCACAAAGTTTGTTTCTTATGATCAGTATTCATGTTGGTAAAATTGTTTAACTGCTATTAGTCCTTATAGTATTAGAACCAAAAAAAATTATAGACATCTGTACTAAATTAGTAATTCTAATAATTTAAAAGTTGTTATTAAACATATGAAATATTTGATAAAATAAATAAAAAAAATGTTTCTTTATTTTATTAATACCACTACAATTTTTATTTTCCAAAAACGTTATACTCATAATAATAATTAGTGTTATAAAAATATAATTAATAACCATATATCATTTGTAAAAAAATTAAAGTCCTAATAATTGTGCTTTAACTACTTATGAAATCCTTTAGGTGAAATGGTTTTTATTTTTGTACAAAATTTAATTTTCCATTTCTTCAATGGACCTTCAAAACTTAAAACTTTAAATTTGAATAACTGCAAATATGTATTTTACAGAATTTTAAAAGTCCCCCCCTATAATTAAAATTAAAAATATGAATGTGTTTCATACAATTTTCCTATGTTTTCTTACAGTTTTTTCAATGCAGGTACAATGTAACCATTCTTTAATTAAATTTTCATTATCTTATGCTTAATACAGTATTGTTATTATTCTGAAATGTATGAAATCAAAATATTATATTGACATATATTTTATAAGGTATTCTTCAAAACCTATTCCTAATTTATTAAATATAAAGATAAAGAAAACAAAAACATAAATAATTCAAAATTGTAAAATAAAATATAAAAGTATTTAATTCAATTATATAGAATAAATATCTATTATTGATATTTATTAGTGATTAATGGTAAAATTAATGTATTTAATTATATGATATTAAATAAAACAAATAAATTGTATCATGATGCAACATTTATCTAATTGCCTATTAGCCATACCAATTAATATTTTTCTCAAAAATTCCTAACTTAAAATGTATGCATTACCTACATTTAGTATTTACTTATATTTAGATCTTTTATAGATGAAGTGTTGTTTTTTATATATTCAATTTAATTTGTATTTCTAATATGCTACATAAGCAATTATCTTTTTAGAAACAAGTGTTTACTAATTAAAACTATATATCATAGAATTAATAAATCCCAGAAAAAAGTTGGTTTCAGAAAGCTCAATACTTAGATGTTGAAACCGCATTTAATTGACTGTCCACCTAATATATTCTAAATTGAATGATTGTTCTATTAAGTATCATAATTTTTTTTTTTTTTTTTTTTTCATAAATAATTGACACTGAATTATAGTTAATTATATACATAAGCATTTTAAATTTAATTTTTAAATTAAAAACAGCAAAATATGTTAGTTTTGATCAATAAAAAAAGAAATAACCAAATTCATAGTCTCCCATTGTCATTCAAATACTGTACTAATAATATATATTCCATAAATTATTTAATTCACATATTCATTATAAACAGATATTGTATAAAAAACATGCATCTTGAAACGAAAATAAATAAATAAAATAGGTAACTCATTATATTTTGATTTGATATTATTTATATTTAAATTATTATACTCATTTACATATTATGCAGTATCATTTAAATTTGAATTAAAAGTAATACTTTTTTATTTTAATTTGTATATGAGAGATACATAGTAAAAATCTAAGTGTATTTTCAGATATTTTAATAACAGCCTCTGATATTTTAATATTTATAACACAATTTACACTCAGTGTTTTTTTTTTATTGTTTTACAAAGTAATTATTTTATCATGAACCAGTAATTTTCTTGGAGGGTTTTTAGTGAAGTTGATTTCTGTTAGGTTTTTTTTTAATTGTTTAAGCTTTTTTTAAAAAAAAACTTATTTAATAATTAATAATAAGCATAATAAATTGCATATCTATTTTTAAATGTTTAAAATATTATTTAATGATCAATTGATGATAAATAACTCTTCTAGTCTAAATTCAGTTCTATAGCTCATAAACAGTAAATCTGATATTAGTGTTACGAATATCAACATTTCTAGAAAATTTGAATCTTTGACTGAAAAGGAGGGAGAGTGCTATTTAAAAATACAAAGTGGATACTTATTTCAATTGTAAAAAGTAAAATTTAAAATTTAAAAATAATGTTGAAGTAAACAATTTTATAATAGTTAAAAAAAAAAAAATTGAAATCAAATTGACTTAAAATTCTCTGTGAAAATTGGCTCATAATAAAACAAATTATTCTGTATATTGTATATTATAATATTAAATCTGGATTTTTTTATTTTATACAAATATTTGTTACAATATGGGCTTTGTTTTTGTTTTTTTTTTTATATTTGTATGAATGAAGAGATTGCCATTGTTTACAAAAAAATTAACTTAAATGTATTTAACTTATTAATCGTATACTTTCAAATGATCATTATTCCAGTAATCATCAGCATGTCATGTTAATTATTGAATATTAAAAAAAAAAAACACATGTCATATAATATATATAAGCAAAAGCAATACATATTTGAATGTATATTATTTTGTTATTAGACAGACTAAGAGTAATATTTTGTGTTAGTCATGCTGGTACACATTGATTTTTATTCTGTCTTATTCATTAATTTTTGAAGAGAGAAAAACCCGCAAATCCGGAAATGGAAATATTGTACATATTTTAAATTATATTCTTAACTAATAATGGGCATGGATGTACTAACTTGGTCCGGTTAGATTACAAACAATTTTTTATTATTATTATTGTTATTATTATTCTGGAAACTGTATGTGGTATGTGTGTTGTGTGTGCTTTCCTTAGCAATACGCTGTACGAGGTGCGGCCGTCTTTACAAATTGAAGAGCTCATTGTTGAACCATCAGCGCTGGGAGTGCGGTAAAGAGCCGCAATTCAAATGCTACATGTGCTCATACAAAGCAAAACAGAAAGCTCACTTGTTGACGCATATGAAGTACAGGCATAAAACTGATAATAATATGATCAAAATAGAATATTTTTATTAACATATTATTATATTCCACATTTTGAAGTTATCTATTATACAGGAAAGAGTGCTCCAATATTTTATTTTTAATAGGATTAGGAAATAAACTATAATTTAGTTACTTGTCATCATTACTGTATTTTTAAAATATATCTACTGATTTTCCAGTTATATGTGTAGATAGTGTTAACATTTATGAACTAGACTAATGGTAATAATATATAATATGTGTATTATGTATATTATATATACAATGATATATAACTATTATATTTTTTTTTTTTCATATATTATTATTAAAGGGCTGTGTTTTGTATATTTGTAAACTAGGTGTTTCAATTGTTTTTACTTTAATTTTAACAGTATTATATATATATATATATTTACTTTAAATTAAACATTAAACAATACCTACATTTAACGTAAAATGTTTTAAACAATTATTATCATTTTATAAAAGATTAAATATTTTATACAATAATAATATTAAATATTGTTAATTATCTGTATGTTTTGAAATGTCAATTTAATAATTCTATTATTATGGTACTTTTTGATTAAATGTTATTATTTTCATATTAATTGTCCATTTATTTTAAAATAGTAATAATGTGTACTACCTATAAGTATGATCTCAATATTATTCGGAGAAAAATCACGTGCAATTTATTTGCTATTAGTTTTTAATAGATATAACCTACATTTGTTTCTGATGTTCTGCATTTGTTTTTACTTATAACGAAACCATGAAAGGTAGTTATAAATACCATAACGTAGTAATTAACAATTCAAAAAGTTAACACAGGAGAAAGCCTATTCACACCTTACGAATTTTAATTAGATCTAAGACTTTCATTGGAAAATTTCAACCTGTGATAAATATTAAGTAGAACCAGTCAACATTTTCAATATCATTCTATATTATCTATTATCTATAACTTCCTGTTATATTAACTAATTTTTTTGTAAAAAGAAAAACACCGTTTTTCACATTATCTATATATTTGATAATTAACATGTCATTAACATATATAATTATTATTCAAATCACACTTGACAATTTGCGACATGTTGAATAATAATTTTGTCACACAATACCTTTTTGTTTTACCTATTTGAACTGAGATAAACCTTATCTTAAATAAACATTATCAAGTCTTATCCTCACTAGTTAAATAGGGAGTGTACTTTTCATTAAATTCATTCAGTTTAATTATTTTTACTTATATAGTAAAATCCAAAATGTCATTTTCATTTAAACTAGAATTAGATTTACGCAAATTAACATTTTATGTGTTTATTGTTTTTATATTGGTCTATCATTATTTCATCGTGAAATTTGTGTCCGAAGTATGATAGTGCTGTAAGTCATGAACAAACCTAAAATAACTAATATTAATGTTGCGCTTGGATTGGTTTAACAAATCTTCTCCTACTGTCTTCTATTATACTTACTTATAATATACATACCTATATTATATAGTTCTTAATATTTAAAGAATGTTCTATTAGGCTATTGGCTTTTTATAAAAAATATATCATTGCTGTTAGAATGTTTAACGCCACGCCAAAATACTCATATATTAACACATACTAGTAATTAGCATCATGTTAAAAAAAAAAAATTAATTGTTTTATATGTAAGTTAATGTTTCTGGTGTCAGTTAATTTATAAACATTTAGGTACTTAAATTTATCTCTCTTAAATGTAAGACTTACTTGGATATTTATTCTGTCATTCTATAGACTCCAAATGGTTGAGAAATATCAAAAATTTAACTACCTACACTGAATTTGATTGAAAATATAATTATTAATCTAAATGTATTTTATATAAATATAAACATATAAAAATGTCGATTCTCGGTGAATTTCAATCAAGAGAAGTCCTTAGGAGATATTTTATATTAAAAATTTAATGACATCGGAAGCTCTATTTCCCTCCTTTTGAATTATTGTCTAAATTTTTCTGTCATGTTTGTTGTCGGATCCTTTGCAGAAATAATAAAAAGATGGCAGGATGGCGGTGAAAACTGGGACGGATATCCTACTTCACAACGATCCCTTGTGCCGCTTTTCAATTCATTTGGCCCAAATAACCCAATGTCTGCCATCAATTTCAAATTCACTAACTACTACAACAACTGTAAGTTCGATCCAACTTCGACTAATGACACGCTACAAATCAGTAATGCAAGTTCTCCGAGCACCAGTGGTGGAGTCGAATGTCCACGTTGTGGAAGACATTATAAACTAAAAAGCTCATTACGCAATCATCAAAAATGGGAATGTGGAAAAGACCCTCAATTTCAATGCCCGTTTTGCAATTACAGAGCTAAACAAAAAATGCACGTTGCTCGACATATTGAACGTATGCATAGGGAAAAATGCTCAGAAGAATATCAAAATTTAACTGGACAAACTGCAACAACTGCTACAACGGCAGCGGTTGTTGGGGATTTAAACTCATAAGTACAAAATATATAATCAAACTAAAGTGCCGTAATGTTCACATATGACTGGTCATATATTTATACTGGCCTATATATCAAGTCCATGTAAATCAAAATGGTTTTTTTTTTATTACGATTTATTCGATTATTTATTAAGCATTTTATAATTTTTTTTTTTTTTTTTAGACTTAGTTGTTAAGTTGTTAAAAGTGCCAATGAGTATGCAATTTTTTACATTGTGTACATAAATTATTTATTGTGTAGTTATAAATTAAGTTAGGCGTATGACATGTGGCGATTTTAATTAGTCCAATTGACTTCAATAAGTAATAATTATTATAATCATTTTACTTTTGATTTAGACTTGCTATCTCATTCCCAAATTATATTTTGATATTAAGCGACTTTACGCCCAACTCGTGTGTATAAAGCATGTTTACGTAAACATCAATAAACACAATCCCTAGATTATAATATATTTTATATAATAATTTCAACATTTTTGAGAAACTTAAAACACGTATTTCTACTTTGACCCTTCTTGGTTGTAATTTATAATTTTAAAATTATTTAATAATAGTACTCCAACTGTGATATAATCATTTGTTTGTTGGCCTAGTCGATATATGTTAACTTGTTGGATTGTTAAAATCGCCATTATTTTGATGTACATACTATTTATTTTGAAATAAGTCATGTATTACAACGAATCATTATTATGTTATCCTAATTAGTGTACTCATAACTTATCATAATATCTCCATTAAATTTATTAAGAATATTCTACAACAAAAATAATGTCCACCATAATATGCATACAGGTGTGTTGAACATGCTTGTATAATATTAGTTGGGATATAATTTATACCAAAAATATGAAACTGAAATCAATTTATAATCAAAACAATTTGTATTGACCAATCAAATTATTATTTTTTTAACCAATTTTAAAAAGTCTGATATTAAGAATATTTAAAATATATTGTTATATTAATCAATATTAACTGCTCGAGGGCAGAAACCATGTGATAATGTGCCTTTTGGTCTGTACTCTGTTTTATACGCATTTATTTTTTTTCGAGTATCTTTTCGTTTAGATCAACATGGATAACAAAAATGTATTTTTAATACACTATAATTATCTAAATTATCCCCATAAAAAGTGCCATTCGAAAAAAATATTATTTTTAATATTTTTGCCTTATTTTTTTTTCATTTTTTTTTTTTTTTGCCATATTACCTATATCAAAAATTATATATATTTTTTTAATGGACAAATTTTTATTACAAACTTATAACTTGTACTATTGTTAATGTAAACGGATTAATTAATGTTTATATGTTGATACAAATTTAAAATCTTGTCGATGCACATACAATCAAATATTCATTATGTGTCATACTAATTTGTTAATAAGTATTATTTATTAAGTTAAACAACACTATGTTTTCTTTTCTTTTTATCATTATTATTATTATTATTATTATTATTATTATTATTATTATTATTATTATTATTATTATTATTATTTAAATCTATATTTATTTCAATCATTATTATCCTCATTAGGTTTTATAATTTCATTTTGTTTCGTATTATTAATTCTTTTAATTGTTTCTCTTTAAGCCCTATGTTTATCATGTAATATTTACTTTAATTAATAATTATCACATGAGTATTTATGTTTTTACATTCATTGCTTTTTATTGTAATATTTTTATTAAAACAAACAACAAACAAAAAATATGAAATTTTTTTAACAAAATCTAAGTTTTATTTATTTGTTTTCTTTAAGGAGTGTGTTATTATTAACATTGTATTGCATATTTAATGGAAACTATAGTGTTATATTCTTTGGCCGTGGAAAAAGAAATGTGGTGTAACGATCATTCATTGTTGCTTGCTATGGGGTGTTTAAAAAAAAAAAAATTAGTTTTATCTTGTCGTGTCCCATATGGGTTCATGTTTTTTTTTTTTATATTATCATATTTTTGTAAGTGTCAATATACTAACTTGGGATCAGTATAATATTATATATTTAAATTTCATGTTTGCTTTGGATTTTATACAAACATGCGCTTAGGTAACGGTGTTTAGTACACTGTGTGGTGTCATCAAGTAAGTATTAACTTTATTTTATTATCCGTGAAATATTAATAAATACATTTCAAATACATACATACATATTATATATTTTAATAACTTAGCGGGATGTACGCGCATGCTTTCTGTGGTCGCTCCTAATAATTGGGAAGCTCAAAAAAAAAAAAAAAAAAAAAATGTTTAAAATGCGAGATTTATATTCGAGTTGTGCCTGCACCGGATCTCGAATTTTATATATTATAATATTTTTGGACTAACCGAATGGGGCGCGCGCGTCGTGATACATACACAGATGCCTAATAAAAATGTTTACGTATATACGTTTGCGCGCGTAGTAGTAAGGCAAAACGACAGACATTTTTCACTCGTAAACGCGAAATAAAAATAAGCGTTTTTTTTTTTTTTTTTTTTCTCATCGACGCCTATATACGTATAATATATTATTATGTGTGTGTGTGTGCGGTCCGCGCGTGCGCGCGCGCGTGTGTGTGTGTGTGTGTGTATGCGATGCAGTACTTATAGGTATATACATTTATTATAAATTTATATAGCTATAACTATATATTATAATTATAGTCGTATTTTAGTACTGATCTCGGGCGCAGCGGTAGTTAGGGGCGGCGTGTGATATTTTGCGAAATTTTTTTTTTCTTTTTTTTTTCCTACAGACTTCATGTTCGCCATCACCGGCGCGACCGTCGACACGTCGACGTCGGTCCGTTACGAATGTCCGAAATGTAGCCGCACGTACAAATGGCGGAGCTCGCTGAAGAGTCACCTGCAAAACGAATGCGGCAAAGAACCCCGGTGTCTGTGTCCGCATTGCCCGTACCGGTGTAAGGTCCGGTCGAACCTGCTGAAGCACGTGCGCAACTATCACAAACCGCCGCCGCTGTCTTCGTTGTCGTCTTCCCTGGCGGCGGCGGTCGCGCACAACAATAACGGCTCGTCGACAGGTGGCGGCGGCGGCGGCGCGCGGACGAGGATCGACGAAACTCTCCCGTCGATCGAAATAACGCGCCAACAGTGAAAACCGAAAGAAAATAATTTAATAATATTATTTATGTATAAGAACGCTCAACAAATCAGAAAATAATTAATAAATATATTATGTACACGCACACGCACATGTTATATGTTTTAGGTATATATATATATATATATATATTTATTTATATTAATTTTTCCATCGACGATCTTTTTAGTGCCAAATTTTTTACTATTAAGTTTTAAGTTTGTCTGATATTTCATATTTTTATTATATTACGTTACGAATTAATATGTTCTTACTTTATATACACGCGCATGTATATAAATATAATTTTTTTTTAACTTTTTTTTTTATATATATATATATATATATTATGTATTTACTTATTATAGTTTCTACTTGTATTTTAGTCGAAAAATATCGTTATAAATAATACCTATGTTACTGTACTCGACTACTTAAACGAATAATATATATTTTTTGGGACTGAATTTATATAAATAATGAATATTTAATTATTAGCTATAGGTACGTGTCGACAGATCTTGAAACTTTTTTTTATTATTATTATTATCGTGTGTTATGATGTTACAAAATATATTTTAGCGATTAGACGAATAATATTGTAATCGGTTTTTTTTTTTCTAGATATACGTTTATTGAGTGTATACAGGTATAGGTTGTTTCCCCGCCCCACTCCCGAACACGACCGAAAGTCGTTGGAAAACCGCCGAAACCGAATGTGCCGTTCGAAAATATTTTATACTTAATACGCGTTGTCACCCGATTTTTTTTTTTTTTTTGACGATTGTTAAAAAAAGAAATGTGTCCATTACGATCCGCGTACACTTGTAACGGAACACGGTGCTGCCGTTCCGTTCTTCTACGCGAACCTATTTAGAAAGGAGACTAAAAACACACACAATACCGAAGGTAAGTATTCGTGTTGCGGTATTTTAGACGTTTTGTTTTTAGATATGGTTTTCTTTTTTATATTATTATTTTGTTGTTTTGTTGTGTGTGTGTATGTGTGTGTCTTTTACTAGAAAAGACGTTGTTTTTGCGTGTTCGTTTTTTTTTTTTTTTTAGTTGCGTTTTCGATTTTGTTTTATTTGGTATATATATTTTTTGTCTTAACCGTCGTCGTGGTCAGTAAATTAATATACGGGCCGGGACGATCGGCCACAAGAATCGATGATGTGCCACACGTCACGTAAGTAATGAAAATACACGTTTGTTCCTAACCTATAACGATAAAAAAAATAAAAAATAAATAAATAACGCTCGTTATTAATCTTTATGCCGAAGATTTAAACGTTACAGTAGTAGTAATCATGGAGATTAGAATTAATCTTCACGGTTATGTGCGATCGGTTTTATAATGACCTTTTCGATCATCGTGTACCTTTGAGCTCTTTCGTGACGCTCTTTGGATATAATATATATAATTAATTTTTTTTTTTTTTTATCGCGTTGCATTACAATTATATTTTAATAAAGAGCTCGCCGGCTTTTTTCCGCCCGGGGGGTTATCGGCGGCTTATACATATTTTATAGGTAGGTGGGTACCCATTACCCAATAAACTGTGTTTACAATACAGTAATTCCGTAAACCGGTGAACAAAAAAAAAAAAAATACGCAATAGATTTTGTGAGTACGTTAATTTTGTTGAAACGACTGAATAAACCGTTGGAAATTAAACTCGTTCATTGGTAGGTTTATTGTAATCGTGTAGCGTTCCTATATATCCGTTGATACGAAAAAAAAAATAAATAGGACGGCAGACTGTATACGTTTTTGATTCTTAGTTTTACCAAAACGTGTTTTTTCCGGTTACAGTAACAACGTTCCAAATTATTCGCATCGTACTTCCCTCCCTCTCCCCCACAATAAAAAACGTGGATTTTTCAACCGATGGTACCTACGACATGATTTTAAAACAGATCCCGGCAGTTTTTATAAAACCAAAAATACGTGTCGATAACTTTACTTTTAATTTCGTTGATTACCTTGACGACGAGGGTAAAACACGACCTAATTACCACGTATTACCGTCATACCGAACCACACTTAAACTAGATTTTTTTTTTGGTTTCGACGATTTATTGTTCCGATAAACCAAACTGCGTTTGGAAAATACAAAAGATAACCATCTAAAAGTACCATCTAGATCAAAATTTCTACAATAAGCTCTCCAGTCGTTTTGTTTTGATTAGAGTAATAATACATAGTTTAAACAAATAGTTTTCAGACATTTTTTTCAGTTTACCTCCTCCTTAAATTAGCTTCAGGCCCTCTAGAGTACACAATTATGGTCCATGTCAATTCGTAGGTCTAAGTGGCGTGACCCCTTCCGAAATATGAAAACCGATTAAAAAAAATATAGGAATCATTTTTTCGTAGAATAGAAGAAATGACATCTCACGCGTGCAGGAGCGATAAAATATATCTTAACGAAAATAAATAATTAATCGTTCGCTATTAAATATTATATTTTATTGATATTTCAACGTAACTAAAAAAATAACGCGGTTGTAATCTTAAACTTTTTTTCCCGTCCGTTGTAAAAAAAAAAAAAAAAATGAACGAGAATAATATAATTAAATAATAAAAAATAAAACACAATTTTTACATAACAGCGTACCGATTACTATTCGTTCTTTTCAACCGTATAGAACAGCTGTAGTTCTCAACACTATTATTTTTTTTTTTTATTATCATGGTATAGATACCGCATACAATTTTCCACGTACCACTTGATGACTTGAATTATTTTCTTATGGTACTTATCCATTTGTGAATTCGGTCGAATTTTCTAAATTAGATCTACTTCGGTGACAAAAACGACAAACGAACGTCGAACGGTTTGTTATTATTGTGTTTATATTAAATAAATTATAGGTAGTAAAAAAAAAAAAAAAACGTGCTTTTCCGAACGGAATAAAAATCGCACGTTTATAGTTGGTTTTTTTTTTTTTTGAATTGTTGTTTACAGTATATCAATAGTGTAAACCGTTTTGTAGTTAATAATGCAAGTTTATGTTAACACATACGTATAATACAATAATTATTAATAGTATTATTTTGTCGAGAGTTTTAATAATATATCATTATGCAAATATAATAACATGTAATTGAAATATATGATAAATGTAATTTATTCCTGGGTTAACGTTATACAAAAATGTTAATTTAGAATATTATTGTTTGTAGTTGTGAAATTGAAAATAATATATAGGTATACTAAAATTATTATGTAGGCGTACAATAATAATAAACTCGAAAATATCGATAGTGATACTCGGTAAATTGAATTATTAAACGGTTGAATTCGTGTTCGATAACGATGGCTCTGAAGAACTTAATCTGTGTCGAATTTCGGACAGGAGAGAGGCTAAAAAGTGTCAGGGAATTCGGAAAACTATTAAATTATTAAAAATAATAATCGAGGATACCTACCAATTTAAAACCTTTACTTGAAAATAATCCTCCTTTATCGCATATTGATTGAACTAAAAATAATGTGTAGCATAGAACCATTTTCATTTTTTTGTGAAATTATATTCTTTGGCAACTATAATAATTTCATTAATCCGGTTCTGGTACTGAATAATTAAATATGTACTACTAGCGTGTTTATGGAATTGATTAATGCATATAGTTTTTAGGTTGAATGGCAAAATTGATGGTTTTGTTGTTTTTAGTACTCAAGTTGGAAAAATAAAATAAAAGCACTATGTGAAACTTAAAAAAAAAAATAGCGTCCTTAGCAATGGTTAAACTCAAAAAGCGCGTGGGGGTTGTACAAACCACACTCTACCCTTGCCACACTCTTCAATATTTATTTAATATTATTTAATAATTTACAAAAAAAAAATCTAATGATTAATAGTCCTGGCTAAAATTTATTTTTATTTTTTTATACAATTGTTTCCCATAGTTTCGTAAAAAATTCAATGTTAATGTTTACGATTTTAGTTTAATTACTTATATATTATCGTACAGGGCAATAGTACAAAGCAGACACGATAATAATTTAGTATATACTATTGAATAATAAAAAAAATAAAAAAAAACGCTGATACTAGTGATGGGTGTGCCATAATTGTAGGTGGGAATTTTCGGAAGATAGGTTACATTATTTAATTTATATTTGTACGTAATATAAAAATCCATTCCTAACGTATTATGATTTTGATGAAATTAATTCGTTTAAACACGTTTTGAAATTATGTGATTTTTACGATTTCCATTACTTTTTTAAATGCATATATCAAAAGACTAATAGTACATTTATTAATTTTTTTTTTTACCACAAGTATAACTTGTAAAATATTCTAGCATTTTTTTAAATTTCAACGCGTCTAGAGAAGGCTTATATAAGTATTCTGTAAAAATTTCAAATCTACGATTATTTTGAACCTAAATTGCATCAGAAAAACAAAATCGAAAATAACAAAACCATGACACTGTGTAGACACACTTGAAATCAGAGCAATATTTCTGGTTGAAAAACTGTCAACAAACAGAAAAAAACAGTATCATTATTAAACCAACATTGTGCTCAAAAATCTAAAAAAAAAAAAAAATTATCTTGAATGATAATAACCCACATTTTTTTTTTTTTTACAAAACAGACGTACCGCCGCACCACGTGATAATAATTTGTTAGGGTACGCTAAAAAAAAAGAAGAGTTCCGCCACCCTTCGTCCCTTCCCTCCAATTTGAGCACTGGCTGTTTCTTTTTCAAATGTTCGCCAGTGACAGAATCGATTAAAAAAAAAAAAACCAACCGCTTTCGTTCTTATCGGCTCGGATTTTCGGTTGTCGTGTAAGCACTACGAGTATACACATGTGCCAGATATAAATTTGACGATTGTGTAAAAAAAAATATACACACATATTATTATTATTTTATAATGTTGATTGCGAGACCGCGTGGGAGGCTAATTTCGTGTTCGGACACGCCTTAAAATATTATGTGACACGCGTTTTAAATCAGAAATTACTGGTTTCCGTCCACCGTATGATATATTTTACACGGTATCGTTACCAGTAATATATTCCTGCGTTTATTCCGTAATTTTTAAAAAAAAAAAAAAAAAAAAAACCCCAATCATCCGACAATATAATAATATCATTATCGAACGTTTTCCGCCGCCCGTGCGCCACGTGGTAGAACCGATAAAAATTCTTTGAACAGTTACTGTTGTAAAATAATAGAAACGGGAAACGTCAAAAAAGGCTGACGTTTTTCACAAATAATCGTGCCGTTTTGTACGAGGGACGTGGACGCACGGGCGAAACCGTAAAGTATTATTATTCCGGAGACCCTGTGCGGTGTGACGTAAACATGACTGGTACACGTGGTAGAGTCTCGACGCCAAACCGTATCCAACGCAATTGCACGTCTTTCTTTTAATGTTTAACAATAGTCGTATAATTGATCCGGATTAAGGGGTTGTGGGGGTTCTCGAAACTAGGTATTATATGTTTAAATCTAACTTATAATTTATAAGCAAACAAAATAAAAAATGTTCTCAAATATTTGTGATTCAACTCGTAGTATCAGTCAGTAAAAACAATAACATGGTCTTTGTGGGCCCCGGGGGCGTGGTCTCCCCTGTCCGGTCCCCTTAATCCAGGCGTGTAATTACCCAAAGATTTAACTGACTATAACGTGTTTTAATTGGTTTTTTTTTCTCTAATAAAACAAAAAACGGAGACCCGTTTTAAACCGAACACCAAAGATTTTTGTTTTTATAAGGTGTCCCATAAGTGAAAAATACAAAGGCCACAAGAAAATCGGCGCGATAATGTGAGGAGTCGATGTAATCGGTAGATAATATTTATGAAAATAACAATGGATTACACGGGTTTTACATGATATTGTTGACAATAATAATTGTCAACAATATCATGTATGGACACTTCGCCGCCAGACATTTCACCGTGAATATTTTATATTATACAGAGTGATCTACTTATCGTGAACCAGCAATATTCTTTGAGGATTTAAAGTGAATTTGATTTCGGTATTTTTTTTTTTAAACATCATGAAACCGTTGAAGATGTATTATTTCAACCCTTTTTTCAACTATCTTTAATGACAAAATACCTGTGTAAACATCAAATCCTTCGTATTAAATACAGACTCAAATAGAGAATATTTTTCTAAAAAAATTTATTTACGCGCTAACGCTAAAATCGGTACTGGCTACTGTTTACGAGTTTTAGATTTATAACAGTTTAAAATGTAGGCCGGAGTCGTAGGAAAGGTTAACAAACTTCTCAGAGTGTCAAATAGTTTATTAGACATGATTTTAAATTAAGTTCTGTCGATTTTCAATTGAGGAGGCTCCGATATATATGTGTACTATGCTAATGCCATACCAACACACGAAAACGAAATTTTTGACGGCATTCCAGTAATTTGTGAAAAAGTATACTTAATGCAATGGTGAATTCATAATTTTTTGTATGGGGTGGATGACAAAAATTTTAGCTTCCAGAGCCGTATCCCCATACGCCAATATGTCAAATAAATAGACAGCTTGGATTTTATAAAAAAAAAAATTATATATTGAAAATTCAACGAATAAATTAGGGGTAGTATTATTTGAAATAAATTTTGGCGGTGTTTGAAATGTTTGATTTCCGTCAACCCAAAACAAAGTGGGTATAGTGGTTTCACTTCCAAATATAAGGGGGAGGGGCGAAAAATAACAGAAATGTAAAATTGTAGGACCGCTCGTTTCTTCGATTTTTTTTTGTAAAACAAATTCCAAAAAGGGTCAATGTTTTCCGAGACAATAAATGTCTCACGCCAAATTGATCACCTAGGCTAGGTTAGCTGTGTCGTATTTTCGTTTACAGACATATTATGGGGGGCTAGGCGGTCCTGTTTGCAGTGAATAGTGCTGTTGGGGGCCGATGTATCGATATTTAAACCGGTTTGATGAAAAATAATTATTATTCTCCGTTCAAACTTTACACCGATTTCCGACCCCACATTGTGCAGGTGTAGTCCGTACACTAAAAAATAAAAATAAATAAATACAATTAATCAATCAGTATTGTTAGCTATACGCCCCCCGATCGTTATTTGATACCACATGCCAAGTATAATATACCTATCTACGGTGTTTTCGGTATGATTACAGATTCGGATTCGATAGCCGAGAAATTCGAGTGCAAACTGTGCGGCAAGGTGTACCAGTGGAAGCAGAGTCTGAAGAGACACATCCGCGAGGACCGGTGCGACAAGGGGCCGCAGCACGCCTGTCCCCGTTGCGGCATGAGCTTCAAACACACCAGCCGCCTCAACAAGCACGTGATCCTGTGTCCGCACATCGTTTTCGACGACAATCCCGCCAACGCGTCCACGTCGTCGTCGTCGTCGTCGCCGTCGTCCGTCAAGCGCATAATCAAACTGCCGCCCCCGTGCCCCGACGCGTTGCCCATCACCGCCGTGCCCACCAACACCACGGCCACGTCGTCCACGTCCCAGACCATACTGGTGTTACATTTGAAAAACCAACACAATATGTCCCAAAACTGGAATTCTAAAATCCAGAAATTGGGCAATTAGAAAGAGAGGAAAAAACAACACAAAATTGTTTTTTTTTCTCTCCCTCTCTCTCTCTGTCTCTATCTCTCTTTCTCTCGTCAATCGAACGTGTTGTGTGTGTGTGTGTGTGTGTGTGTGTGTGTGTGTGTGCACCGTAATTTTTTTTTTTAAAATACGTGTAGGTTTAATAACATTTGAGAATTTGAAAAAATACAAAATAATTATAGTTTTCGAGATTTATATATATATATTAATTATTTTTTTTATCAAAATTACACCAACGTCGTTACGCGTGTAGTCAAATCATTGTAATATTTTAATAATTCTCTACACACTCGTACCTATTCTATACTAGTCAAAATATGGAACAACGCAATCTAGTCTTTTTTTTTTATTATTATTATTATTATTATATTATTAGTATTATTATCATTTCATGTCCTTTATTCGTTTGTGCAATTTTTTTTTTTTTTTTCTGAAATTTATACGTTTTATTTGTCATTTTAATATTAGTTTAGTATATATATATATACATATATATGTATGTATGTATGTATTTTTTTTTTTTTTTTAGATTTTAACGCGACGCTGTAGGCATCGATTAGTACGATTTTTTCTTTCTCTCTTTCTAATGACGTGACGTAGTAGTTTATAATAAGATAATATAATTTTTTTTTTCTCGTGTTTTTGTACGAACAACAGACGTTACGTTTTATAGTTTGCCAAATACGGTTTTAGTCCTATATATATACACATTATATAGGTATTATTCGTCTTGGAGTAATATTTAGTTTTTTGTTGCTAAAATAACAAACAACAAACTCATCTAGTCGTATTATATCATAATTTTATTTCATCATCTATATATAAATAATAACAAAATACATTTACATATAAATACACGAATTTACTTTTAAGATAACGATAATATATGATTATATATACCTACCTGTATTGTATAAAAATAATGTTATTTTTGTCGACTACGAACGTGTACGGTTGATTATAATTTATTTTTGATTTTCTTTATAATATTATTGTACAAAAATAACAAAATAATAATAAAAAAACAAAAAAAAAAAAAAAAAAAAAAAAAAAAAAAAAAAAAAAAAAAAAAAACACGCACAAAAAACTACACGGCAAATAAAACATTTGCTGTCGGAAATGGCATTGTAACCCCACGGCAATAATATGTAATTTTCTATCGCCGGTTACCGGTGTTCGCAAAGACCATTTGCGAACTCGCGTGTTTTTTTCGACATTTTGTTCCCGCCGGCCGCTCGCCCGTCACCGGTTTTCGTGTTGTTATTAATTTGTACAAAACAAAAGCCGACGACCAGCCGCCAGCCCCGCGACCTTTGCGCCTCCGTCGTCTGGCACCGTTTCGTCGTCTCGGATTACGGCACTCGAAAGTCGTTTTTTTTTTTCTTCTTCTCCTCGGCGGACGCTCGTTCGGTTTTTTTTTTTTCCCCGGTATATTTTCTAATCGACTTTGGCACGTCGACAACGCTGCGGGCGGCGGGGTGTCGGCGTTAAACCTCGCGACGGCGAAAAACACACGATATAATTAAATTGCCCGCACAAAATACAATCGTACGCGGTGTCCGTCGGCCGATTTTCCTACGCCAATGCACAACGACGAAACGCAATTTGTCCGAAATCAACGTCGGTCGAAAACCCGATATTTATTTCGCATCGTAGCGGACGTGGGGTGAATACCGTTTTCGCGCAGAATCCAACATCCCCTCCCACCCTCTTCCCCCACCCCTACCACTCCAACCCCCAGCCACCAGAATCCGACGGTTTATCGATAATAACAGGTGCGCGAATAGGCCGCTGAATTCAAACATTTTTCTCCCCTCACCTATACCGCCCCTTATTGTCTGTACACGTGCACGCAGTGCAACGACGGCAACATAATAATAACGTCCCTACAGTTTACTTAACGGTTTTTCAAGAGACTTGATATTATAATATTATATCGTACTTATATATTTTATACAACAATATTTATTACAATTTTACTATTAATAGCTCTGTACAAAATTTTATATTATGTACAGCCACACACGAATCTAGTCAAGTGTACGAGCACAAATTCGCAATATTATTTTGTGTATTATTAATGTAATTAAATATATTTTTAGGTACCGTATTATTATACAATAACGCCGTGTATTATCATTAATGCTGCTGTAAACAATTATTGTACAGTAAAAAAAAAAAAAAAAAAAAAAAAATAAAAAATTTTTTTTTTAAATTTTTAAAGGGTTTTTTTTTTTTTTTTTTTTTTTATTTAAATAATTTTCATTTTTCTAGTCATTTCGTACTTATATACACGAGTCGTAATATTAATAATAATATTTTAATTTTTAGACTATTGTATCAATAATATTGCCGTCAGTATCTTGTATACTTACATTATATTAATACAAAATTATTAATTGTAGAAATTGTTTGTTCGTTTGTTTTTATTATTATTTAATTTTTTTTTTTTTTTCTCTCGTCCGCGTCCCGTTTGTTTCGTTAAACACCGTCATCATTATATAATATAATATTATTTGTGTACATATATTCGATATGTTATATTTATTAATATTATAATTTTTATACGATCGTAATACGCGCATAATATTATATTATTTATCATAATGATGTAAAATATATTGTAAACACATATGTATTATATATGTATATATATATATATATATATATAATGTATATATATACATATATATGTATATATATGTTATGTATGCATAGACGAATAAAACAAAATTATATATTCGTATATATACCTTATTACGGCGTGTATGATATATTATTATGTGTGCATTATATTTTATTTATTCGAGTATTACTATTATGTTTATTTGTTTTGCGTGTGCGAGCAATAGAAAACCAAACAAACGAAAAAAAAAGAAAAAAAACGTGTTTTACTACTGTATTGTTTATTCGCGAACCGTACCTGCACAACGGTACACTGGTACCGTATATACAAAGTGTCCCACGGCCATCCCGTTGCGATTGTATCCTCGAGACAATGAAGATAGTGTTATAATTATTATGTAATAAAAACAGATTGTGCTTTGTTTTGTTTTTTTTTTTTTTTTTATGTTTCGGTAAAACATTTTTGAAAAAATAACTTTATTTCGTTATGTTCGAGAAATGTGAAGACAGCAAGTTTATTCTTCTGAAAACGTTGACGTTTCGACTTTTTTTTTAGTTCAAAGTAAAATAGTATTTTATTTATTTAACACCATACATAACAGTGTTTTGAAATTTGTTTATCTCGTTTTCCGATAAGTTTTGTTTGATAATAATTTTTGAACATGTTTAATACCTACGCAGTTTTTTTTTTTTTTATTCACTAAAACAAAACATATTAAAAATCATTAGGTTAATGAAAATAAAAAATTAAAACGTCAACATTTTCAGCGGAAAAACCTCTAAAAAAAAAAAAATTCTATCTGTACAAACTTTTCGACATTTTTGTTCGCAACACGTTTTACCAAAATATAAGAATTCAATTGAAATACGAATTGTCCGAAGTCCCCGGGACTCGTATATCAGAAGAAGAAAAAAACCCCGGGCAATTCGATTATCTCCATCGTCTCGAGTGACATCGCAATGCGCACACCGATATAACGAAGATCATTCGCGGGCCGCTCCGTATGCGCAACGGTAATAATAATATTCCGTACGACTCGGCGTGGATCGGACGCCGAACTTTGCCGGGTTTTCGGTGTCTAGAACGTGCCAAGTTCACGGAGTGAGTGTACACTCGGCGCGTTTTCCAGCCGAGTCGCCGGCGTTAATTTCGAAGTACAGGGAACATTGCCCTCTCCGCCGTAGACATCCCTGGGCCATCGATTACCCCGCTGTAATGTAGTCCGTACTCTTTTCATCCTTTGTCCATCGCGCGCGTCCTCGCAGCACGCCTCCCGGAAGAACCGCCGACCCCAGCCCGTCCGGCCATCGGTCCACTCTTGCCCTCCTCCCCGAACCTCTCGGCCTCACGCACCGGGGGGTGGGGGTGGGGGAGGCTGTACGTTTTGTCCGTTCCCCCCGCAGTCGTGTCCGGTCGCGGCACAGCGAGGAACCGAAACGAACCTTTATCCCGCACTAATCGGCGCCGTTTTGTTTCAGAGCCATGTGTCTGCCGTGGATCGTCACCGCTAGTGTCCTGCAAAACGTAATTGTTGTGCTTTCGGCACGCGGCCGGGAAAAGCCGTCAGCGAAGGCACTGCGATTGGCCGTCCTCTCTGGAAAACGCGTGAGCAACGGCCGCGCGTCTCGATCGATTGCACCGTACACCGTTATTATCGTCGTCGTCGTCGTCATCACCGTTGCTTACACATTGCCATTAGAAGCGTGCGGGTTTTCGACGATGACTGTTTTGAAACATATTTCAAAATACGTGCACGGAATAATATCCGTTTGTTATGTTTTAGTGTAATAATTTTTTATACCCGTGTGTGTACCGCGACGACGCGAGAACCCCGGTTCATAATAATAGTATCATTATTGTATTGTTTCTCTATACCAATGTTTGGCGACCGTTGCAACGGCTCCTGGAATTGCAACGGTCCACATAACGGTATATAACAGTATTTTTTATTTATTTTTTTCTCCATTATATACGTTATTTCACTTTTGTTGTCTTGTTATTATTTCGTATGCGTGTCCCGCGAGCTTTTCGTCGAGTACCGACCGCGTGCTTGACGTGACGGGATTACGTGTGCGGTTTTTTTTTTTTTTTTTATGCTATTGGTGTAAAAGGTACCCATTACGTTTACAATAAACACGATCCTGCCGTAGCAATTCTCTCTCTCTGTCACTCTAAGCTTTTACCAAACTGTTTGTCGTCTCCGTAGCGATAAAAACCATCGGATTTTTCTGTTCCTGTGTACATGTAATGTTCAGCGGGTGTACGCTGCACAGCGGCGAACGTGGGCAAATGAGGTTTCGGGCGGCGAAACGCAAATCGCCGCTTAAATGTGTATTGGCGTTTTTCAATGATAAATCGATACGAAACGGCGACATTTTTCCCGCGTTCGCCCCGGCTGCGCAGTACACCCGATTTACCCAGCATGCCTGCGCATCGGCAGTGTTTTATATTATTTCGGTATTTTTTTTTTTTTTTTTTTTTT